CTCTAAAATGAGTAAAATATATCTTTTGGAAAGGATAAAAGGGAAAGGGGAATAGAGGGTTAAGTAGCTTCAGACCCTGTCCAGTGTCACTCAAGGCTTTAGGGAACAGAAACTTCAAGTGGGCACACTTGGATGTTTCTCAACTGCCACAAAGTGGTGTTAGCGTTAAGGCCATGATGCTTACCCAGGTGCCAGAAGCAGACATCAGAGGGAGAGTAGATTCTGATCTAGAATTGAAAGCTCATTCAAGTCTCATTTCGAGTCACTCAAGGGAAACAAAACCACAGCATCATGCATTTTAGCAATCGTAGCACCTGCTCCATTGGTACTAACTAGAGGTCTGGCCTGCACCCTCTCACAATCCAGGATCCCTTCTGGGAAGTCAGACTGCCAGATCAAGCTGAAACTGGCAGTTTCACATCCCCCCAAGGGACACAGCAGTGCCAAAGCGGCAGGCGGCCATGGCTGATTAACTTCCCATGCCCAGCTCAAACCGGGCCCGGATAACAGACAGAGACTTGGCCGACAGCAGCTGCTCTCGCACTACAAGACTTGTTTGAGTTGTCTTGTACCCATGGTGTGAGGAAGTGGGTTTTTGATATCTAAATCCAGCCTACCACTAGGAATACTCAGGGCCTACTCAAGAAGGCAAATAATCCTTTCCACTAATATTTACAGGGTAAAATAAGATTGTTTTAAAATAACAAATTTGACAGTAAAATAGTAGACAAGTTTTCAGGCTAATTTAAATAGGATAATTGAAATAAGTGAATATTCTAGAAAAATTAATTGTACTGGACAAAAAGCTGTTCCTAAATTGTTAACTAAAATTTCTATTGGTAGTTCATCTCATGATAAAATTGAACAACAGGAAATGAACCTACAGCAGTCATATTATAGTGCAAAAAAATTAAAATTTAAAAGCTATCAAGACTACATTATAAAATTTTCAAAAGCCTCCTAATATTTAAATAAAAAAGGGGGAAAAGTAGAAGAATATCATGTAAGGAAAAATATCCTGTAGATACATCTAGAAAATTTGTACTTTAGAAAAATAATTGTAATGCTAACAGCAAGACACCCATGAAAACACACATGGTGTCCAAATAAGACAGAAGAAAATCATTTGGGCAAAAAATGAGAAAGGATCCCAAGTCAAATTTATAGAAAATATTCCTTTATTAACTTTTGGTCTAGAATATGTTTGTATATTTTCAGAAAACAACTCTGAGACCATGTGGATTCTGGCAATAGAGAGGAATTGACAGGACTCCTCCAGCCATGCAGACAGAAGAGAAGCAGTCCAGAGATGGAAGTCACTGACGACGCCTTGCCATACTAGCAGTCAGCAGCTGTGTGTCACTGCAGGATGCCCAGGACCAAACCAGAGAGGGTTGGACCTGCATTACTACCATTTGCCCACCATCCAGAATTGAAATATCATTGCTCACATGTACACATAAGGAACTGTTTGACATTGAAATTGGGTCTCAAAAGAACTGTTGGCCCAGAAAGAAACTCACTACAGACTGATTCATTTGCCTTTCAGCATAACAATTATTGCTTGTCTCATTTTTGATTCTCATATTTCCAGTAGGACATGATCTCACTCATCTAAGGGAAATGGTGAACAACATAGACTGACAAACAAGAACAGATCCAGAGATAAGGAGCCATGGGTCAGACTGCTGGACCTCAGAGGGAGGGTGGAGGTAAAAGGGAGAGATCAACCAAAGGACTTACATGCATACATATGAGCCTAACCAGTGGTCAAGGACAACAGGGTGGGGGCATGAGTGGGGAGGAGTGGGGGATTGGAATGGAGGATTGAGGACAAATATGCGATACCTTAATCAATAAAGAAATTACAAAAAAACCCACAAAGCGGCAGGCGGCTAGGGAGGAGTCTAGCTTTGGGCTGAACCGCGCTTCAGCTGTGGAGCGCACTGACCACCAGGGGGCAGCTCCTGCATTGAGTGTCTGCCCCCCACCCCCACCCCCCTGGTCAGTGCCCATCATAGTGACTGGTAGACGGGTTCTGGTCTTTCTGGTCCCAACAGTGGCTTAGGCTTTTATATATATTGACACCTACTAACCAGTTCTTTGCAGCGTATAGAGCATTGTCACACATTGCATTTTAAAGGTTAGAGATCAGAAACTCCAGTTCTTTTTTATTGTAGTTTGTTGATAGGATCCAAGTCCATGTCCACGCTGTGGACCTGAGAGTTCAGACCCCCTTTACCCAGTGGCCCTGCTCCATGTCCCATCACTGCTGTCCAGAGCCAGCACTGACCCCAGGAGCAGGGCCTCTGCGGACCTGTCCCTGAACTGGAGAGTCCCCGGGGGAGCGGAGCGGAGGCCTCCCAGGCTCTCAGTCCCCTTCTCCCCGCAGCCCGGACACCCCGGTGCTCGGGTCCTCCGGGCCAGGCGCGCAGGCTGCGGGCAGGGAGAGGCAGGGGCTCACCTGTCAGGGGACCGCCTGCGGCACAGCTGCGCTCCCTCCCTCCCCTCGCCCTGGGCCGTCCTCAGGGGAAGTGACTGGCTCCCTTCCCAAGACCAGCGCTCAGGCCACAGCCCCGGACTGCTCCGCGCCGGTCACTGCACCAGCCTGGAGCCGGGAGGCGGCGCGGGGGTTGGTCACGGACAGGAGCGCGGGGCCGCGGGAAGTGGGGTGGGGGTGGGGCTTAGGGGTGGGCGTCAGGGGTGGGGGTCAGGGGTGGGGGGGCAGGGGGGGGGGTTAGGGGTGGAGGTGGGGCTTAGGGGTGGGGGTGGGGTTGGAGGTGGGGGTCAGGGGTGGAGGTGGGGCTTAGCGGTGGGGGTGGGGGTTAGGGGTGGGGGTGGGGGTGTAGGTGGGGGTTGGGTGGGAGGTGGGGCTTAGCGGTGGAGGTGGGAGTGGAGGTGGGGGTTAGGGGTGGAGGTGGGGCTTAGGGGTGGGGGTGGGGCTTAGGGGTGGGGGTCAGGGGTGGGGCTTAGGGGTGGGGGTGGGGCTTAGGGGTGGGGGTGGAGGTGGGGCTTAGGGGTGGGGGTGGGGGTTAGGGGTGGAGGTGGGGCTTAGAGGTAGGGGTAGGGGTGGGGATGGGGCTTAGGGGTGGGGGTGGGGGTTAGGGGTGGAGGTGGGGCTTAGAGGTGGGGGTTAGGGGTGGGGGTGGGGGTGTAGGTGGGGGTTGGGTGGGAGGTGGGGCTTAGCGGTGGAGGTGGGAGTGGAGGTGGGGGTTAGGGGTGGGGGTGGGGGTTAGGGGTAGGGCTTAGGGGTGGTGGTGGGGGTGGAGGTGGGGCTTAAGAGTGGGGCTTAGGGGTGGCGGTGAGGGTGGCGGTAAGGGTGGGAGGACGTGGGGTGCCAGACGCACGCGATGGGGCGGACGCAGAGGCGGCGCCGCGGAGGGCGGGGCCGCGGCTTTTCGGGGACCTCCCGCTTCCGGCGGAGGCGGCGGCCCGCCCGGGGGCTTGTCCGGGACCTCCGGCTTCCGGCGGAGGCGGCGGCCTGCGCTCCCGGGACGGCCCTGCAGACCCGGAGCGGAGGCGGAGACGCGGAGGCCGCGCAGCGCCCGGAGGCAGGTGAGTCGGGCGGAGGTGGCGCGGCCCGCGGGAGCCGCCAGGGCGGGGAGTGAGCGGCCTCCCGGGCGCAGTCCTGGGCACGGCTCCTCGTTTCTCACCGCGAACGCGGGAAACTGCTGCCCCTGGTCCGTTAGCAGCGATGAACCGGCTCCTTTGACCAGAAGCGTCCTCCGCGGGGCCGCGGGGCCGCGGGGCTGCTCTGCCCGCCCGGTGCCCAGGCCGGTGCCGCCGCCGGGGCACAGCCGCTGCTTCTGGGCGGTGCTTTCTGGGACGGAGGCCGCTCTTTTATATACAATATAAACTAGGGGCCCGGTGCACGAAACTTGTGCACTGGGGGTGGGTCCCTCAGCCCAACCTGCCCCCTCTCACCTACTGGGAGCCCTCAGGGGATCTCCTAAGCCGCAGTCTGGCTTCCCTCTGTGGGAGGCGAGTGGGCTGATCAGGGGAAGGCACCAGCCCATCACCCCGCTGCTGCAGCCCCTGCCAGTCACACAGCCACCAAGGTGTTTTCATCAACACGGACCCCAGTCCCTTCAGCAAGAAAAAACGACAACTTTCTTTAGGCGTTTTCAAGATGTGTCCTTCATAGGATGTGCATTTCTTTCTTTCTTTCTTTTTCCCCCTTCACTTGAGGATATGTTTCCATTGACTTTTAGAGAGTGTGGAAGAGAAAGGGAAAGACAGAGAAACATCAAAGTGAGAGGAACACTTTGATTGGTTGCCTCCTGCATGAGCCCTGATCTGGGCCCCGGCCAGGGAGGAGCCTGCAACCTAGGTACATGCCCTTGATCAGAATCGAACCGGACCCTGCAGTAGGTAGGCATTATCCACTGAGTCAAACCGCTGGGGCAGGATATGACATTGCTCAGCCCTCTAGCAGCAGGCCTTCATTTTTTTTTCTCTCCAGAAGTGTGGTGGAAAAACCCCAGATCACCTTTTTGGATTCTTATTACCCAAGTTACTAAGAATATTACCAGTGGCATACAGGGAGCTTAGCCAATGAGCACTCAGAAAAGGTGTTTCCTCTGTAGTTCACACCAATTGCGGGTGGGGCCCTGGCCCAAGCTTTAGGCCTGGGGAGGGGACCCCCAGCTCCCTGTGAACACAGGCTCCGCCCCTGCCCCCTTCGTTCTGATTGCAGGTTGGCCCTGCCCAGGCTGCTGTGGGCCCACGTGGCCTTATCTCACAGTGACCTGGGTGCCAGGATGTTCCCGGGACACAGGTGCTGGGCGCCTATGTATGCAAATTAAGCACCATCTTTTTTGGGTTGATTTGCATACTCACTGATTGGCTATGGGGATAGCGAAGGTACGGTCAATTTACATTTTTGTCTATTATTAGGTAAGATATTTTTATTGATTGCAGAGAGGAAGGGAGAGGGAGAGGAATGATGAGAATTATGGATCAGCTGCCTCCTGCCCACTTCCTTATTTCTGTTCATCTATTTATTCCAGTTCATTTGCTGACACAGACATTGCTGAGGGATCTCATTCCTGTGTATCTAGCCTTCCCATATCCAATACCAGTTTACAACTTGAATGATACTTAGCTATCTCCAACTTCATGTAATTCCATAAAATCAGATGGTTTGCGACTTTGTAAAGAAAATATTTGTGAAATCTTGAATAGATGTTAAGTGCACATGGCACAAAGGCTGTTTTGAGCGCCTGCCCACTAGTGTGTGCTATTTATTTATTTTAAATACTAGAGGCCAATGCATGGATTCATGTATGGGTGGGGTCCCTCGGGGATCGGGGCCCCAGCTCGCACCCCTACAGCCCTGCCTGGCACCCACTTTGGCCTGGCGCTACCCCCTCACCTGCTCCACCATTCGCCTGTGTGACAGTTGATTGGGGCCAGGGCCCCTGCCTGAGTCCCTCAGTGTCTGGGAGCCTGGCAGCGCTGGTCAGTCTGCTGGGTGTTTGGCAGGGCGATTGGGCCCCTGCCCATACATCCCGCCATGGTCCCACTCTCGTTGGGGCTCCTTGGGGCCAGCAACACCTCCGCTGCCACCTGTTGCCAGCGCTGTGTCGCCAACACCTGCCATGTTCTGTGCCACCCTCTGGTGGTCAGTGCACAACATAGTGGTTGAACTACTGGTTGAATGGTGAGGGGACAATTTGCATATTAGACTTTTATCATATAGGATATTTTTTTTATTGATTTCAGAGAGGAAGAGGAAGATAGAAACATCAATGGTGAGAATCATTGACTGGCTGCCTCCTGCATGCCCCCCACTGGGGATGAGCTCACAACCTGGGCATGTCCCCTTGACCAGAATCGAACCCAGGACTCTTCAGTCCACAGGCCTACTCTTTATCCACTGAGATAACCGTTAGGGCTAGTGTGTGTTTTAAAGAAAAGACCCACCTAGTTTAACTTTCAGGGTGGTTTTTGGCTAGTTTCTGTCTTTTCTCTTTTTCCCACTGACACCTGAAATGGCAGAGCGCAGGCCACCTTGAAGGCCACACTGAAAGCATGGGAACTGCTGGCGTGCATGGCGCCCTGGGTGACTCTGGGCTGAGGTCAGAGACCATGACTTACCCTAACAACCTGCCCCATCACTAGCGAATAGGAACCAGGTCCTCACTCCTGGGAGTGGACCCAGCAGGTCCCTCCCGGTGCCAGGTTCCAGCTGGTGTCCAGCTGATTCTCACACACACGCCTTCCTGCTCCCTTCCCCGCCAGTGTCACAACTGCAGTGTCTTCAGATCACAGCCTAGGGTGGGTTCACTGACAGCGTTGTGGGCTGATTCTTGCTGTCTTTGATTTCATTGTAATTTTTACCTCACATGGGCCCGTGATCTTAAGGGTTCCTTTCACTTTTCCTGTTTGCAGCTAATGTATGTGTCTCCTGGCAGGTAATGTATGTGCACTTCTAGCAGGTAAATGGTTCGAGATAGTAAGTTATTTAAAAGCTTATTTTACTCTTACCATTTTAAAATGTCTCCGTCGCTAATGCAATAGGGTGTAAAAATCTGCATGAAGAATTGGTTACAAAAGTAAAGTTAGATAACATAATTCCAAATGAATAAAAATGAAATCTGCTTAGCTATGTCATTTTTTGAGTAAATTGACAATTTGATTTTTAGCAGCATAACTTTGTGAAACAAACAAAACCTTGGTCTGTTACAGTACCAGGAGCCATAGAAAGGAACGAAAGCACTGTCTTTTAATAGCTCTGATGTTAACATTAACACAGGCGGCGGACAGAACACTTGGTCACACACCAGCCTCCGTTAAGACAGAGCCGCCGCCGGGGGCTTCCCAGCACTGACTCAGGATCCGATGCTGCTGCTGAAGAATGCGCTGCACTGATGTGTAGAATGGAAAAAACATCCCTCTATTATTGATTGAAAAATGCAAGGCCTAGTATGTGCAAAGGATTTTTGTAAGGGTAAAAGCAACTTTACAGCTGCCGATTCTAGAAGAGGAAACAGGATGAGGGTGGAGGGAAGATACTTTTTAAAAAAGCCTTTACTGTTTGAATTTTGAAATCATGTGCATGTAACCCTTTTTAAAGTTTTAAAACGGCATTTCAAAATAACCTCCAGGGGTTTTGGTAATAACTCTCCTGCCCTGTGATGCACTCCCCCTGATGCTGTCCCGCAGGGAGGGGCCGGGCGCAGGTGTGGCTGTGTGGTCACAGCACCGGGCGCCGCCCGTGGTTCCTGACAGCTGTCCAGCCGTTGGGGTCCTGACAAAACAAACAACTTGTGTGGAGTAGCGACTGTTCAGAACTACGTCAGAGTGACTTTTTAAAGTTATGTGATGTCTACATTTTAAAACGGTAAGAGTAAAATAACCTTTTAAATAACTTATCATCTTGAACCATTTACCTGCTAGAAGTACAAATGATCAAGGTAACTGTTGCAATTACGACTTTTTAATCTTCCTTCAGTCAGGCTTCACAAGTCACATCTAATTTTAACAGTAAATGAAGGATAGCTTTCTCAGAGGACACAGACCGAAGGGAAGCCCCTTGGTTCCCGATGCCCTTCAAGCACAGCTGCCCTCGTGTGTCTGAGCCCAGCAGTTCCATTTAAATGAGAAGGAAACCGAGGTGTCGTTATGCCCCCACAAACCACTATATTATCAACAATTATTTCTTTTGTTGTTGGATTACATGTATGGTCTCATCAAACTAGAAATGAAAAATAAAGATGTAGGAAAGAGTAACACACCAATTTACAGAGCTGGAATACAGTTTCACATTTGATTGAAATGATTCTATTAGGTCTAGTAATAATGTCGTTTTCTAATACTTTTTTAAATCGAATTTATTTAAACAATACAACAAAATTTAATCAACAATATAGTTGCCGTTGTTTTCTACTACTAGTGCCCAATGCTCAGGAAGCGTTTTAATCCCTCTGTTGTAAAATTCTTGTGATTTTGATGCAAAAAATTCGGTCAATGCATTTTTGAGGCATTCTTCATTATTAAATTTTTTTCCAAGAAGAAAGTTTTGCAAAGAACGAAACAAATGGTAATCGGAAGGGGCAATATCAGGAGAATATGCAGGTTAAGGGAGAACTTCCCATTCCAGCTGGCGCAGTTTTTCAGCAGTGATTCTTGCAGTATGCGGTCGTGCGTTATCGTGGTGAAGAATTACGCCCTTCCGATTAATCAGCGCGGGTTCTTTTTCTCTTAAAGCTTGGGCTAACCTTTCCAATTGGGCACTATACACTGCACTTGTAATGGTTTGGTTAGATGGTAAAAGTTCATAATGAAGAATTCCTTTAAAATTCTACCAAACACACAACATCACTTTTTTCGCATGCAAGTCAGGTTTTGGCGTGGGCTGTGGAGCCTCATTTTTGTCCAACCATTGAGGCCGCCTTTTCAAATTAACATACAGCACCCATTCTTCATCTCCCGTAACAATTTGCTCTAAAAACGGCAAACGGTTTTGACGAGAGAGGAGCGAACTGCAAATTGTGACTCTTTGATTACGGTTGTTGTCGGTCAACTCATGAGGAACCCATTTTCCAAACTTTTGGACTTTGCCAAGTGCACGCAATTGATTGGAAATTGTTTTTTGTGAACAATTTAAAGTTGTCACAAGCTCTTGTTGGGTAATTTGAGGATTTTGCACCAAAAGAGCTTGAAGAGCTTCTTGATCAAAATTGGACACACGGCCTCGACCACTCTTGTCATCTAACGAAAAATTTCCCTCACGAAATTTCTCAAACCAACGCTGGCATTTTCTGGCGTTAACTGCATCTTGACCAAGAGCACTACAGATGTTTTTTGCAGCCTCACTTGCTTTTCTTCCTAATTGGAACTTGTAAAGCATGCAGTGCCGAATATGCTCTTCATCTGCCATCTTCTTAGCCCTAGTTTTGCAACAAAAACCAAACCAAACACAAACTTTTTCAAGCAAAACTTGTTAATTGCACTTCACACGTTCTGTAGATACCACGTGTTTGAAGGTTATGTCAATACAAGTCAACGCCAAGCAAGATTTTAAACGAATGTTTAAAAACGACATTAATTATTACTAGACCCGATATGTATTGTTTTCTTAACTTAAAATCTAAATGACCTATCAGAAGATTTTCATCAAACATGAGAATCAGGATCTCATTGCCTTGCCCTGCTGGCATGACTCAGTGGTGGAGCATCGACCTGTGAACCAGGTGGTCACGATTCAGTTCCTGGTCAGGGCACACCCTGGGTTGCCATCCCCAATGTGGGGATGGCAGCTGACCAATGATTCTCTCATCACTGATGTTTCTACCTCTCTCAAGTAATAAAAAAAATAATAATAAAAATAAATATATATATACACACACACACACACATTTATTTATTTAAGAAAAGGTCTCAGGACCCAGAGGGGGACGTGAACTAACTTGCTGCTGACTTGCAGACTGGTGCCGCCGCCATGTCCAGTTTCGAAGACGCGGACACGGAAGAGACAGTGACGAGTCTGCGGGTCACCGTTTACCATCCTGGCCAGACACAAAGTGGGATATTCCAATCGATAAGGTTTTCTAACCCGGAGAAGCTCCCTTCCAGCGAAGTGGTGAAATTCGGCCGAAATTCCACCGTTTGTCGCTATACTTTTCAGGACAAGCAGGTTTCCCGAGTTCAGTTCTCACTGCAGCTGTTTAAAAAGTTCGACAGCTCCGTCCTCTCTCTAGAAATCAAGAACATGAGCAGGAGGACCGGCCTGCTGGTGGGCGGCACGGAGCTGGGCTACCTCAACAAGGTGGAGCTGCCCTACAGGTGCGTGGTCCGCTTTGGCGAGTACCAGCTCCTGGTGGAGAAGCAAGATGGGGAGTCCCTGGAGTTTTTCGAGACTCTCTTCACGATGTCTCCCAGACCCCTCCTGCAGGAACACGGCTGGCCCGCAGGCAAGCCCACCCCTGAGCTCTGCAGGCCCCCGCCATGGTCCGCCCAGACCACCTGCCTGAGCGCTTGCCCCACGGAAATGGATGAGAACGAGTGTTAGCGAGCCCAGAGGCGGGAGCGCTGCGCGGACGCAGACAGCTGCCTGCGCCTGGCGGCGGCCTGCCGATGCCCGGAGCCTGTCCCTCGTGGGAGGCACCGACTTGGTCGCCTGGCTTACTGGATGGACTGAGGGTTGGTGCACACGGCGTGTTGTGATGAGTGCTGACCAATAGGGTGGCAGTGTTTTCTCTTTACACCTCATGTTAGTCCCGTGCTTTGCTTTGTAAGAACCATCTCTTGGGAACGTTATCTCACAGCAGCTGTTGGTTTTAAGGCCAAAGCTACAGGAGGGTGGCTGTGATCGCTGCTGGTGTTGCACGCAGCCTGCGGGTCGCTGGGCACCAGGCATGGTGGGAGCGTGTGTGATAGTGTCTGCGCATCGCTGTGGCTTTAATATGGCTTAGTGTTCTCCAAGAATAAAATTCTTGTCTATAATCAGTACTTAAAACATTTTAATGAACCACTGTGCTACATGCAGAAGTATGTTTTCTTACCTAATTTTAAACTGATTTTTATGTCCTTTTAAAATGTTTAATTCCACGAATTCCAAATGTTAACAGCACCAGTGCAACTAATAAAATCTAACTTTAATTCTCTAACCATTTTCTTGGAAACTCTAAGGACAGGACCAGTGCGGCCGAGCCGAGGCTGTGCACTCGGACACACAGCTCTGCCCGAGTGTGGCCTAGCCATTCTCCCCGCCTCCTCACTCTGCATGCTGACTCGGCCACCGGGTGCCAGGATCCATAGAGAACCCGACCTCCCAAGGGCCAGCAGCCTGCCCTCTGCCAGTCAGCTCTCCTCGAGACTGCCCTGCACGAGGTGTCTGACAGGAGGTGTTGCAGCTACGCTGTCTCTGATCCCTCTCCCACCCTATGTCTGACCCAAAAGAAGACCTTGTTGGTGCCACTTCTGAAATGTCTGCTCTGCGTTCCACAGCCGTTCCCGCCCCGGCCCCGCCTCATCCCACGAGGGGTTCCCTCTCAACCTGCCTGCCTGCCTGGTTGCTTCTAACCACTTCTGCCTGCCAGCCTGATTGATGCCCAGCTGCTCCCCTGTCAGTCTGTTTGCCCCCAACTGCCCTCCCCTGCCAGCCTGGTCACCCCTAACTGCCCTCCCCTGCAGGCCTGGTTTCCCTCAACTGCTCTCCCTTGTAGGCCTGATCCTTCCCAACTGCCCTCCCCTGCTGCCATCTTGTGGTGGCCATCTTCTGTCCACATTGGGGCAGCCATCTTATGTGTTGGAGTGATGGTCAATTTGCATATTCTTTTATTAAGATAGAATTAGATAGAATAGAGGTCTAGTGCACAGGTGGGGGCCAGCTGGCTTGCCCTTGAAGGGTGTCCCGGATCAGGGTAGGGGGGTCACCTTGGAGCGTGGGGCGGCCTGGGGCAAGAGGCCTATGGTGTTTTGCAGGCCGGCCATATCCTCCCCCCCCCCCCCCCCCCCCCCCCCCAGGCCCTGGTATCTGGGATTTATTTATCTTCTATAATTGAAACTTTGTAGCCTTGAGCAGAGGCCTGGGCCAGCCAGGGCAGGAGGAAAGCTTGTCTTCCTCCATTGCCAGGGAAACCCAAGCCTCCTGCTCACTCCGGCCATAGTTATCTTGGTTGGGCTAATTTGCATACTCACTCTGATGGGCTGGTGGGCATGACTTGTGGGTGTAACAGAGTGATGGTTAATTTGCATGTTACACTTATTAGATAGGATAAAATGTTCAGTTTCTTTAAAACCCACCCTTCTCCATTGCCTATAGGCCTCACATAACTGGCCCCCATAATGCTTAAGTCCAAGTGGTCTTTTATGCTCAGAACATACAAACTCCCTCCCACCTCACCTTGCACATGCGGTTCCCTTTGCTTATCACACACTTCTCAGGCCTTGATCCTAGCTGGCCTGTCTCCTCACCGAGGACTCAGACTGGTGACACCCAGCCTCTCAGCCCTCGCTGCCTGTGTGTCTCCTGCTGCCAGCTGTGATTTCCCGTTGCTTGTTGTTGTCTTGTCTCTCTTGCCACAAGGTAAACAAAACAGCAGGAACTTTTTCCTGCAAGTCCCCACACTCCCTGCCAGACTCCCTAGCCCGTGGGGCTGAGTGTTGGCCTGCAGACCAAAGGGTCTTGGACTCAATTCCAGTCAAGAGCACGTGTGGGAGGCAACCAATCGACGTCTCTCTCTCTCTGTTCCACTCACTCTAAAAAATCATTGGGAAATATTCTCAGGTGAGGATTAACAACAACAAAAAAATTTGAATATCCCTTTCATAGCAGCTAAAACAAACATTTCAAGTGCAGTTCCAGCCTGTTTTCTTAATTTACTCCTTTTTATCTTCATAGCAGGTTTAATAAAGTTAGGAGACAAATGTGCTACTATTTGTAATACCTTAAACAATTAAAAAAAATAAAGAATTATTGCATGTTTATGGAATACAGTCATTTTTAAAAATTAGTTTTTTAAATGTAAAAATGTTTATTCACAATCCTCAACAAGCTGCCATCCCTTCAAAAAATTCTTTATGAACAAAATGTCAAAAAAATTACAATAGTAGCTTATGCCATACCAATATACATCCGATATATATAAACTTCAGAAAACATAACTGGCAGTGTGAACATAGATTACCTTTACAATACTGCCGAGACACAGCTGCAACGTGAGTTAGTGACACAGACATACAGAAGAGGGTGACCGGCCCTCTGCTGCATATTTAGTGTCGCGTTTAGATCTATGAGATAAAAGTGAAGAGCCGCAGATGCCATTGCCGAGCAGCTTGGACACTGAAAGGACCATGTGATGCTTTAAGTGCAGCAAGAATCTGAGTTACTATTTACACCTGGACCTTCCTATAGTTTTGAGAACATGCACTGTCATTGTTACAAGAAAAAGAAAAAGCACTAGGAAAAAAAGTTTGCTGATTAAAATCATGTCAGTCCTCAGCAAAACTGAGACAAGCCACTAGGACTCTCCTCGACCTTTTAAGTTGATGCCTAACCCTTAGAGAAAAGAGCTCACTGTCTACCACACAAAGTGGCTGTATTTATTGATACACATAATTCTACCCCATTAGTGCACCTTGTAACACAAGGCAAAGGAAACTTAATAGAAGCAGCAGATCCTTCCAACAGAAAGGATTTACTTACTTTGAAATACCCGTATTTCCTTGTTAGGTTTTCCTTTCTTTCTAAATGATGCACAGAAAATCTTTCTAAGGCCAGTCACTAGGAAAAAAAAAAAAAAAAAAAAAGATGTCTAGAAATTTAATATATCAATTAAAGTCAAAATTCATTTATAGCACATATAAAAGGAATACAGTCATTTTTAAAAATTAGTTTTTTAAGTGTAAAATGTGTTTATTTTCTTCAATTACTCTTGATGACCAATTTCAAGTGTCCAAACTCTGGAAGCTTCCTTTGTCATGTCATTCCCTTTGTTTCAGACTGATTCACAGTGTCCTACTTGGATATGTAGTCAGTGTAGACACAGAATGACACATGAGCATTCTGAGTTACCTCCTAGAGTAACTGCTACGACTGGTGGTGAGTGTGGGCTGTGGGACAGACATGCGGAGCGGGACCGTTATTCTGAGTCTGAGCTGGATGCTCCGTCCTCTGCTCCCTCCTGTCTGCTGAACATAACACCAAAAGCCTTAGTACTCTGTCAGACACTGAAATAAGGTTCTGCAAACATACTAAGTAAAACCAACAAAGTTATTCTAAAAAGAACACCTACAAATTGCAAACAGGAAGGTAATTGATACTATGACAGAACCATGAACTTGTTTGAAGAGCGAAGGTAGATGATGAAATTGCACTTATTCTGAAGCAATTCAGATACAGCCACCACCTGGTCCTTCCTGATAGCACGTACTCGGGGCTCCCACCTCCAGTGGAAAGGCTCAGCAGGATTTATACCTTCTCGCTGGGTTAGCACGGGGTCCCCCCGCCAGGCAGGTTCACAAGACCTGACCCCCTCGCGTCTGTGGCTCTCCGCCCACCGGCTTCCCACCAGGCTCCGACAGGTCCAGCACGGGGTTCACGAAGCCGGAGAACTCGGAGTTGCCGTTGTCATCCAAGTCAGCGCTCACGAAGTCGCTCTCCCACTCCAGCCCGTTGGAGTCGTCGGAGGCGGATGCAGCGTGGCTCCCAGGCCTCCGGCCACCTCTGAGCGCCGCCCGCAGGATGTCCTCCTCCGTCCGAGAGCGCTCTCGCACTGGGAGCATCCGAGTCATGCCTGGGAGGGGCCAAGATGATTAAACATCTCAGCGAAGATGAAAAAGCTACGTGAAAAGGCTTCCCAGGCTAACAGTCTAGTTTGTATTTAACAATCAGACCTGACCTGTGAGTTGAAGAGCCAGCACCAGGGAGGCTCACCCTGGAGCGCGCCTTAGAGAAATGCACTCACTCACCCAAGGGCAGCTGGGACTAAGGAGATGAATGTCTTAGGAGCCATAAATCACACAGAAGGAAGGCAGGACCTCAATGGTCATTAGTCATTAATCCATGCACCTGCCAATCCTCTCCGCCCCAGGCGCTAACTTCCTTTCCCGGAGGGAGCAGTGGCTCCAAGGATAATGATGACATCCTAGCCCAGCACTGCCTGCTTCCCGTTAATGTTCACGTGTATTCGCACGTGTGTTGCACACGGCACCCCCTGCTCTGTTCACAGCTGGGAACTTGGCAGGAAGATGGGGGCCTGTGTCAGGGCTCCAAGCCGGGCTCCCGGCTCTGCCACACAACTGAGCAGAGGCGGGCCAGGGACTACACCTCATTCTGAACAGAAAGAAACTGGCCAGTAAATGGAAAGTCCCATATTCTTAGGAGAAAAACAATGTAACTCTATTGGCAGAAGGGATGGAGGAAAGACAGAAATTCGAATTTGTAAGTGTAGCACCAACATACTTAAAAAAAATTAACATCTAGGACTAGAAAAATTCCCCTAGACACATTCAATAATTTTGTTTTCTGACTGTAACAAATCAAACCCTACGGTAACAGAAGAACATTTAAATATAGATGCATATCACTGTTGTCTGTCACTCATAAAAAATCACAAAGGCTCAACATAGCAGAGCAAGTCATTTCTACAGGCCAGACACAAACCAGAGATGATGCTAACAGGACTCTGAGGGCTTGGATTCCATGGGATGGCACTGGCCAGAGGAAGCTGGGGTGTACAAGCAGGCTCCTAGTGGGCTCTGCCTGACCTCTACATGATTAGTAATGCAGTTAATGACCTGAATAACCTCCAAAGTCATGTCACCTACAAATCTGATTAGCATGCAGCATGGATGACAGAATAGGAATAAAATAACTGAAAGGCTCTGGGTCAGATTGAACAAGATGCTAAAGTAAAAAAATAAAGTATGCTGATTGGAATTCAAATATGCAATAACCTCAGTACAGGAACAGGGAAACAGTACTTAGCTGAGAAAAAGCAATCCTTGGTAAAATTGTTTGAGTGCTGACATATCTGTTTCTTTATTAATAAAACAAAAGGCTTTGATGGGAAGATATCTAAAGTCCACTTCTCAAAACCCTTTGAAGAATTTAATGTTTATTATTTTTCTTAAAGTCCTATGTTCTATAATTGGTTCTTCTGTTTGGGTTATTTCTTTAAATGAAAATGAAAACTTGGGCTTTATGCAGTGAAATAGCCCTTTTTAAAACAAATCCACATTTAGCTCTAATTTTGAGTATTTACTATTTGCAACACCCTGTACTGGGTGCTTTATAAAAATTTTATTTAATCTTCACAACAATACCTTCTTTTTTTTTTTTTTTTTTTTTTTCAAATATTTATCAGCTGCCTGTTATTGCCAGGTAGTGAGGACAAAGCAGGGAATAAATCACTCTTTAAAGTAGATTACTCCCTTTTAGGTAAACAAACTGCAGCTTGCAGAGATTGAGAAATCTGCCTAAAGCACCACAGCTAGGAAGCCATGCAGCTAAAATCAAAGTTGAGTCCATGTCACAACTTTTATACCAGGAGAACTACAAACTGCTCTTGATCATGAACCAAGATAATTAACTGTTGGCTTTAGATTGCCCACAAGGGGGCAGCAAATCTTCTGACTGAGGATCAATGGGAAGGATTGAAGAATTGATATTTAAGCCCTCGCCGGTTTTGGCTCAGTGGAGAGCGTTGGCCTGTGGACCAAAGGGTCCTGAGTTAGAGTCCAGGCTCCTCCCTGGGTCTGGGCTCTGGCCAGGGTGTATGCAAGAGCCAACCAATTGATGTGTTTCTCTCACATGGATGTTTCTCTCTATTTCACTCTCTCTAACAAAATCAGTGGAAAAATATCCTTGAGTGAGGATTAACCAAAAAGAAAAAGAGCCCAAGTGCCTATAGCTGACACCTGTGGGAGTAGCTGTGTGGGAGCAGGAACCCAGAACAATGTCAATCAAGATAGTCAAGGCAGAACCAGCCTGAGGTAAGGAGCCCCGACGACTGGGCAGCTGGCACGATGACATTGGGGTTGAACCTCACTGGCAGCAAGTTGGAGGGGGGATCCCTCCCTTACCTGGGACATCAACAATCAAGTCCCAATTACAACAGGGGAGCCCAAACAATGCACACAAGGGGCATTCCTAGAGCATCCAGCTCAGGGAAATGAAGAGACTGCACCACTTGATCCCTCAAAGTGGTGACACTTTCTACATTAGGCCATCCCACTAAGATGGGGAGGCATAGCAGTCCTGTCTAATACATAGAAGCAAATAGAGAGAGACATAAAATTGGGAGACAACGAAACAGCTTCTAAATCAGAGAAAAGAAGGACTTCAGAAAAAGAACTAAGTGAGATGGAGACAAGCAATGATCATAAAGGTGCTTAAGGAACTTAGTGCAAATTACAATACAAGAGAAGGGAAATAGAGGCCATTAACAGGAATCAGACAGAAATGCAGAATGATATACCCGTATTTTCCGGCGTATAAGACAACTTTTGAAATGAAAAAAAGTCAACCGAAAATCGGGGGCAAAAGACCAAAATTGCACAAAAATTACCTGCAGATCTTGACGGCAAAGTAAGTCTTTTCTCTGAAGTGGGGGTAGTCTTATACAGTGAATATAGGCCTAAACCTATGTTTAAACTGTAAAATTAGGGGGTCGTCTTATACGCCGGAAAATACGGTATCTGACATGAAGAACACACTGGAAGGAATTAAAAGTAGAACTGGATGAAGCTGAGGACCGAATCAGAGATTTTAAAGATTAGAGCAGCAAATAGAAAAAAGAATTAAAAAGCAGAAAGGTAGCTTAAGAGAGCTCTGGGACAACATGAAATGTAACAACATTTGAATTACAGGAACACAGGAAAGGGGAAAAGGTGAGCAAGGAACAGATAATCTGTTTAAAGAAAGAGAGACAGAAAACTTGCCCAATCTGGTGAAGTAAACTGTCACACATGTTCAGAAGGCACAGCGAGTCCCACTCAAGATGAACCCAAAGAGGTCCACCCCTAGACACATAATTAAAATGGCAAATATTAAAGACAAAGAAAGAAACTTAAAGGCAGCAAGAGAAGCAGAAAATTACCTACAAAGAAGCTCCCAATAGAATGTTAGCTGACTTCTCAATGAAAACACTTCAGGCCTGAGGGAATGGCATGAAGTACTTGAAGTAATGAAAAGCAAGGGCCTAAATCTGAGACTACAGTATTCAGTGGAGCTATCATTTAAAATTGAAGGTCATACAGCCAAAAATAATCTACCCAGCAAAGCTATCACTCAGAATCGAAGGCCAGGTAAAGAGCTTCAACAATAAAAAAAAAAAAAAAAGCTAAAGGAGTTCATCACCACCAAACCAGAATTATATGAATTGCTGAAGGGGGTTCTTTTGGAAGAGAAAGTAAATAAAGATAAAAACTATGAACAACAAATACGTAACTATCAACAAGTGAATCTAAAAACCAAAAAAATTAAAAAAAAAAATCTGATGAACAATATTAACTGTTGAATATAATAGAATCAGAGGTATGGAAGGGGAGTGAAATGACGATTCTCGGGGAAAAGGGAAATGGAGGTGTAGGAAGATACTGAACATAAACTGTGCACCTATGGATGAGGACAATGATGGGTGGGGAAAGGGCAGAGGGTGGGGTGGGAACCTGGTGGAGGGGAGTAACGGAGAGGGGGGAAAAAGAGGGACATGTGTAATAATATGAACAATAAAGATTTATATTAAAAAAAAAAAATTGAAGGTCAAATAAAAAGTTTTCCAGACAAAAAAAGGTTAAAGGAGTACATTACCACTAAACCAAACCAGCAACGCAATAAATGTTAAAGGGACTGCTTTAAGAAAAAGGAAGGGAGAACGAGGATCATTGGCATAAAGAAAACAAAAAAAATTAATGGCAATAAATACCCACCCTACCTAATAAAAGAGTGATATGCAAATTAACCATCACTCAGCTGCACCCACCAGGACCTTAAAGAACTCTTTTTTTTTTTTTTTTTTAATATATTTTATTGATTTCTTACAGAGAGGAAGGGAGAGAGACAGAGCTAGAAACGTCGATGAGAGAGAAACATCGACCAGCTGCCTCTTGCACACCCCCTACCGGTGATATGCCCACAACCAATGCACATGCCCTTGACCTGAATCGAACCCGGGACCTTTCAGTCCACAGACCGACGTTCTACTACTGAGCCAAACCGGTTTCGGCGGTTAAAGAACTCTTGATAGACCTTAAGGGAGAGACTGAAAGCAATAGTCATAGTGGGGGCATTAATACACAACTGACTTCATTGGATAGATCTTTCAGACAAAAAAGTAACAAGGATACAGAGGCCTTAAATGACATGCCAGATCAGATGTATCTAACTGAGATTTTCAGAACATTTCACCCCAAAGCAACAGAATACACATTCTTCTCAAGTGCACATGGAACATTCTTAAAGACTGACCACATGTTAGAGCACAAAACAAGTTTATACAAATTCAAGAAGATTAATATAATATCAAGCATCTTCTCAAATCACAATCATAGAAATCAACTACAATTAAAAAAACTCAAAAACACTCAAATATATGGAGGCTAACTAGCATGTTATTAAACAATGAATGAGTCATCAATGAGATCAAGAAAGAACTTAAAAACTTCCTGGTATCCAATGAAAATAAACACACAACCACCCCAAACCTATGGGACACAGTGAAAGTAGTCCTAAGGGGGAAGTTCACAGCACTACCCGTCTCCCTCTAGAAACAAGAAAAAAGACTAATAAACTAACCCAAAAACTAAATGAATTAGAAAGAGAACAGCAAGAAAAACCCAGAGGAAGTAGAAGGAAATAAAGATCAGAGCAGAAATAAATGACATAGACAACCCCCCCCCCCAAAAAAAAACAATACAAAAGAACAACAAATCCAAGAGCTAGTTCTTTGAAAAGATAAACAAGCTTGATGAATCTTTAGCCAGACTTATCAAGAAACAAATAGAGAGGACACAAATAAGTAAAATCAGAGGTGAAAGAGGTGATATAAAAATGGACAATACAGAGATAAAGGATTTAAGCAAATACTATGAACAACTATATGCCAACAAACTGGACAATCTGGGTGAAATGAATAAATTTCTAGAAACATACAATCTTCCAAAATTCAAACAGGAAGAATAATAAAACCTGAGTAGGTCAATAACAACCAAATAAATAGAAGCAATAACTTAAAAACTTTCAGCAAACATAAACCCTGGACGAGATGGATTTACAGGAGAATTTTACCAAACATTCAAAGAAGAACTAACACCTACCCTCCTCAAAATATTCCAGAAACTTCAAGAGGAAGAAACATTTCCAAGTTCTTTCTATGAAGCCAGCATTACCCTAATCCCCAAGCCAGATAAAGACATTACAAAGAGAGAGAATTACAGGCCAATATCCCTGATGAACACAGAAGCTAAAATCCTCAACAAAATATTAGCAAATCAGATCCAGCAAAATATTACAAAGATCATACATCATGATCAAGTGGGATTTATTCTAGAGATGCAAGGCTGGTACAATATTCTCAAATCAACAAATGTGATACATCACATAAACAAACTGAAAGATAAAAACTACATGATCATATCAATACCAGTAGATGTAGAAAAAGCATTTGACAAAATACAGCACCCTTTTTTGATGAAAACTCAGTAAAGTGGGAATAGAGGGACCACACTTCAACAGAATATGTAAATCTATGCCTATAAAAATAAACATGCTGTGTGGCTTGTAGCAGCCTCTACATCAGAGAGAATGGCGGCCCAGCTCCCAGCTTTAAATCTATTTCTGTGTCTTCTTCCTTTATTTCTATTATTTCTCAATCCCTGGCTGCCTCCACTTAGAATCGGTTTGTTCATCTCTCTTTCCGTGTGGGACGCTGGAAAAGGGAGATCCCCGCCATGTCTGGCCCCAGCCACATCAGGCCCCTACACCATTAAATACCAACAGCATATTTCACAGACCTAGAACAAACGCTCCAAAATTTTATATAGAATAAAAAAGACCCCAAATAGCTGCAGCAATCTTAAGAAGAACATTGGAGGAATCACAATACCAGATATATTACAAAGCCACTGTTCTCAAAACTGCCTGGTACTGGAACAAGAATAGGCATATAGACCAATGGAACAAAACAGAAAACCCAGAAATCGACCCAAGCCATTATGCTCAATTAATATTTGACAAAGGAGGCCAGACAATCTCTTCAATAAATGGTGTTGAGAAAACTGGACAGATACATGTAAATAAAAGAAAGTAAATCACCAACTTGCACCATACATAAAAATAAACTCAAAATGGCTAAAGGACTTAAACATAAGACAAGAAACCATAAAAATCTTAGAAGAAACCATAGGCAGCAAAATATCAGCTATATGTCATAGCAATATCTTTACCAATACATCTCCTAGGACAGTGGTTTGCAAACTCATTAGTAAACAGAGCCAAATATCAACAGTACAACAATTGAAATTTCTTTTGAGAGCCACATTTTTTAAAACCTAAATTTCTTCTAACGCCACTTCTTCAACATAGACTCTCCCAGGCCGTGGTATTTTGTGGAAGAGCCACACTCAAGGGGCTACAGAGCCGCATGTGGCTCGAGAGCTGCAGTTTGCCGACCACAGTCCTAAGACAATGGAAACTAAGAAAATAAACAAATGGAACTACATCAAAATAAAAAGCTTCTGCACAGCAAAAGAAACCACCAACAAAACAAGAGAGCCCACTGCATGGGAGAACATATTTGCCAATGATACATCCGATAAGGGTTTAATCTCCAAAATTTATAAGGAACTCATACAACTTAATAAAAGGAAGATAAACAATCCAATCAAAATATGGGCAAAAGACCTAAATAGATACTTTGACAGTATACATACAAAAGGACAACAGACACATGAAAACCTGCTCAAAGTCACTGATCTTCAGAGAGAAGCAAATCAAAACAACAACGAGGTCCTACCTCACACCTGTCAGAACGGTTATCATCAACAAATCAACAAACGACAAGTGCTGGCGAGGATGCAGAGAAAGGGAGCCTCGTGCACTGCTGGTGGGAGTGCAGACTGGGGCAGCCGCTGTGGAGAACAGTATGGATTTCCTCAAACAATTAAAAACGGAACTTGACCTAGTGATCCCACTTCTAGGAATATATCCCAATAAACTAGAAACACCAATCAGAAAGGATACATGCACCCCTATGTTCACCAAAGCTAAGGTTTGAAAACAGCCTAAGTGCCCATCAGTAGACAAGTGGATTATAAAACTGTGGTACATCTACACAATGCAATACGATGTGGTAAAAAAGAACTCTTACTATTTGCAACAGCATGAATAGACCTGCAGAATATTATGCTAAGAGAAACAAGCCAGTCAGAGAAAGATAAATATCACATGAACTCACTCATTTGTGGAATATAAAGAACAATATAAACTGATGAATTAAAATAGATCCAGAGACACAGAAGCATCCATCAAGCCAGGGAGGGAAGGCGAAGGTATGAGATCAACCAAAGGACTTGTATGCATGCATAGAAGTAAAACCAAAGGACACAGACAGTAAGAGGCGGGGACATGTGCTGGGGAGGGGAAGCAGCTGGGGAGAGGTCAATTGGGGGAAAAGGAGACATGTAATACTTTCAATAAAAAATAATTCAAATTAAAAGTAAAAGACCAAGTTGATTTCTATAAACTAACAGATTAAACTGTACATGTCAGGTAAATGGTGAATGTCAGATACCTTCCTCATCTTCCCACTCCAGATCCAAGGACGTGCTGTCATCATTTCCACTCGTCGATTTGGTTTTGGTCATTAAGTCACAACTGCTTTCTGTATTTGGTGTCAAAACGGTGGCATCTGATGAGAGTCCTGGAATATACACCAAATATAATTAAGTGTAATGAGTACTCATTACCACAACCACTTACTCTGCAGGAATCTCTCTCCCCTAACACTTCTATGCCTTTTATTATTATAGAAACAAGGACAAACCATTACATCTGTAAGCTTGTTTAGAATAACATACAGCCCCCCTTTCTTTTTTGTGTTTCTGCCATCTAGCAGCACAGCAAATATGCAAATGTAAACAAATTATAAACTTTTCAAATATAATGAAGTCTATGTATTATCCTATATAATAAAGAGCTAATATGCTATGGTCATCACGCCACCATGCTGCTCAGACACTCAACACTGAGGCGAGAGGAATGAGGACCAGCCAGACTGCGGCCCAGGAGAGGTCCTGGCGCCAGCGGCTGCACGTGAGCCTGTGGCCTGAGAGAAGGACAATCCTCACACCCCACGGTCCCCATGGTGCTGGGCACCAGTGGCTGCACCTGCGCCTGTGGCCTGGAGAGGGACAAGCCATCCACCCGTGGTCCCGGGTGCCTGCAGCTGTGGCCCAGGCCAAGACGCCCGCCTATGGTACCCTACGGCTACAGCAGCCTCGGCGAAGCTGGCCCTGGAACCTGGGTGCCTGTGGCCAGGCAGAGGGAAGGAAACCCGGGTCCTGGGTACCTGCAACTGGCCAGAGGAGGGAATCATGGGTTCTGGGTGCGGGGTGAGGCAGAGGTGGTTAAGGGCAATCAGGCCAGCAGGGGAACAGTTAGGGGAGATCAGGCAGGCAGGCAAGTGGTTAGGAGCCAGCAGTCCTGGATTGTGAGAGGCAGTCAAAGGGGTACAGGCAGGCTGAGGGATGCCCCACCCCCAGTTCATAATAATCCATTACAAAGGAGGGCAAAAACAAATGAAAAGATAAAAATGACAAAGCAAGTGAAAAAGGCAGTCTGTATTTAAGATGGACACTCCGATGCTGCCATTCCTGGGAGTGTCCCTCTGCAACACGGAGAACAGCTTTTCCCTCAGGAATCCTGAGTTACAGCTCCCACCTCTTTCCTCTTTCCGGGGGAGGCTGGGGTCAGAGTAGAACTACAACACGAGGCCCTGACTCCGCACAGAGATCTGCAGAAAGGGCCAGAGACTGCTCTCTCCAACTCCTATTGTGTATTAAGGACTCGCACTGACCATCTGGGCAACAGGAACCAAAGGTGGGAGTTCCCCAAAACAGAGCTGGGATGGAGATGTAAACATACACAGAAAGCTTTAAGGACTTACTGCTACTTTGAAAAACTTCATACTGTGACTTTGTATTTCGCAAACAAGATTCAAAGTTGTCTTCTGGTCCTGAGCTGTAATAAAGTGGAACACTTGTTGTGCATATTCATAGTAGATGGCACATATGCATGTTTAAATTAATGATGCCATTTTGGCTTGACAGTCTGTCCCACACAAACTCATAATTACTGCACCATTAGAATAACAATGAAAACAGGTCTTAATTTTCTTAATGTTAGCAATGAATTGAAACTAAGATTTTGGCTAATTCTGATGTCACATCTCCAAGCTTGGCCATAATTCCCACTTCACAATGTACGAGAATGCACTATGGGAAAGGAGCTCAGAATGAGTAGGAAACACTCCTCCAAAACTGATCAGATTGTAAGAGCAGAGGGGTTCAGGAGATACACAAACAACAGGCATAAATGGCTTATCCAAAGGCGTTCAGTGTTGTGGCATCATTTCTATACACAAGACGTGGCCACTCTTAAAACTGCCACAAAATCCATTTGAAGAAGTGACCACTTTTCAACGTAAGTCAATGTCCTTGGCATTCTTGCAAAAGCGTGTCTTTGACAGCCACGATCCCTGGGGGGCAGGCCGGTGGGATGTCCACAGACACGCAGCGCCGATGGCGCTTCCTACCCGAGCATGCGCGGCTGTACCTGTGGCACGCGGCTCCGCTGGAGGGGCGGCATCCAGGACCGGCGCCCAGCCTCTCCTGCTTGGAAACACGAAGCGGAACAAAGTCACTGCCGCACAAGCAGAGCGTTAAGACCAGCCATGCGATGCCAAGATGCGCTTTTTTGTAGTTTGTAAAAAAAAACACAGAAACTTAGGAAGTTATTCTATTGAAGTCTTTCCCCTTAAATTCACCCGCTACTTCTACATTCTCATATTTATGGTTATTATGTCTCTAAATTTATTCATCCGTGTATAATCTTTAACATTCCGTGTTTTAAAAAGATACATCCTTCACAGTCTTTCACACCTGAGGAACTTCCAGTGCGGGGAGGGCTGCAGGGCAGGAGGGACCATGCACAGTGCAGGAAGCTCTGTTCTGGGGCAGACTGCGAGCTGACAGTGATTAGCTGTGTCCCTGGGAGTCCCTGCCTTCTTGTTTGTTCAGCTGTAAATGACAGGGGCTGTAACACCCAGCACACTTCCAGGCTGCCGGGAAGACCTGCTGCACCGCGTGCCCCTGAACAAACTGTGTGGCGTGTGCTGGGGAGGCTGTGGAGTCTGTACATGTTCCTGTAGCAATGTCCGGTCTGGGAAGAGAAACGCCAGCTGCTGCATATGCAATGATTTGTCTTTAAAAGAGTTGCCTATATTATAACCAGAAAAATACTTTTAATTCTTAGTAGAGGTGAGTTAATTTTTAAACTTTCACACTATTTAGAAATGAAAAAGAAAAAGAAAAAAAAAGACATTCTCCTGTTTATTATTCTGCTGAAACACACATGTGCGAGTAAGATAAAAGACACAGGTCACACAGAAATCCTACAGCCCTTCACGGGCACGGCGCTTTGGCTTCTCTGAGCTACAGTCATTGTCTGTGACATGACCTCTGCCCCGGTTGTGAGCAGACAGAGCACCATCCAGGCAAAGCGTGTGGGAGACACTGAGCGGGACACTGGCCGAGTCTGCTGAGCTGACCTTGGGCTCTGCCGTCCCTGAGCTGTAGGATCCCAGCCGATACAGCTCATCTCTGTCCCTCCGCTTCCTCTGCTATGGGACTCAACATATATCAACATTAGACCTAATACTTCGATTGTCGGGAGGATTGAACAGGTAAGACTTGTGACCTGCTGAGGACAGTTCCGGACACTCAGCCAGGCTCCGTGAATGTTGCTGTGAGTTCCCGGCAGTATAGTGCCGTATACCAAGCATGACAAACTCGTGGCCCATGGGCCGCATGCCTCATTTATTTGGCCCATGTTAGCCTCTGAGTTTGACATGCCTGCTGAACACCATGAGCACTGGTAAGGTATGGCGAATCTCTTGCCTTCTCTAATAACATGCTAAAGTCTTCTCAAGGCTCAAACTCCCAATCTCCCAAAGACAAGAATGAAGATGAGAAATATACAATACCCCTGGGGGGCCAAACTGCCGGCTTACCTCATCTAGGAAGGATAGGAAATTCTAGCAACTCGAGGCCTTGTTTTGAAAACAAAAACAAAACAAAACAAAAACAGAACAAAAAAACTTGACAAAATTAAACTTAAAAAGGCTAGTTTTGCCCCATTTCTGTCTAAGAGTATGTTTATTTTTCCAAAAGAATACTGGGTTTTAGAAAACTGAAGCTGATCTTTGGGATAGACAAGAGCTACGCCTGCTACCCGAAGGCAAACAGCACTCAGCATCAAGCGCATCATTGGATGTCATTTCTACCTGTTAAAGTTCAACTAATTTGCCTTAAGTTCCTAGAAATGCAGGCAGAAGTACATTTGTTACACAGAAGCCCCAACTGTCGGGGACAGAAGAGCTCGGCTACGGCTGGTCAGAGAGAAGCAGGACAAGAGCCGCCCTATCGCAAGGGTCCCTCACCTCCAAGAGCTTTCGCTGCTTTGCTGCCCTGGCTGCTTCTCGCTGGGCAGCGTACACAGCCTCCTCTTCTAGTCTTAGCTTCTCTTCTTGTAAGGCTAACTGCGCATGAACAAAACATGAGGATTAACAGAATCAGAACCTGTCTAACTGCTTTCAAAACAAAATGCTTCTACTCATAAAAATAAAACATTGATCCCTTCAAAGCATGGCAGAACTCAAACTTTTGTGATTTCTCGTTTCAACTTCTCCTTTTATAAAACAACCCAAATGAAGCCAATCATATTACAGAATTCTCTAGAAGCTAAAATCATGCAGTAGCAGCATGTAATTTGCATAAACACGGAAATGCTTCTTTCTCAGAATTCTCACCAACAGTCTCCTGCCTATTGGCCCTGATGGGGTGAGGGTCTGGTCCGAGGCCAGTCCTCTGACGTCTGCCACGCGAATGGCAGGAGCCGGGCTCTGCGCCCAGCCCAGCCCCTCCTGACGATCACTCCTCGATGCTCACATCTCCGTCCCGCCGTCCCCAACAGCACACTGACTGCCCTAGTGACCATTTCAAATAAAGCTTAAGCATCACATTTCAACACCATTTTTTTTCTTTAAAGCTAATATTCTCTAGTATAGGTTACCTATTGTAATTACAGGCCATTCTGTGAGTACATTAAAATAATACAGCATTTATGACTGTTAGAAGCAGTTGACTCACTAAGAACACATACATCTTTTAATTTATTTTTCATTTTTTATTAAGGTATTATATGTGTACATATCTTACCATTGTCTCTCCCCCACCCCCCGCCATACATCCCTCACCCCCAGTGTTTTGCGTCCATTGGTCATGCTTATATGCATGCACACAAGTCCTTCGGTTGATCTCTTATCTCCCCCACCTCTCCCTAACCATGCCGCTGTAATCTGACAGTCTGTTTTGATGATTTACTGTCTCTGTATCTATTTGTTCATCAGTTTATAATGAAGAATACATAAATCTGAGATAAACAAAAAGACTTTTCAGAAACCACACTTACTGTGAAGCAGTAAAATTTAAAAGTTCGTTTTAAACACACAGGTGCATGTGTCTGTCCTGCCGGAGACCCTACTTATAAATTAGGATATTATCTTTAGGTGCATGTATTCTCTTCCTTTTTGGCTGTATATGGTTGCTGATAAATTAAATCAAACTGAAATAAATTATAATAGGCTGAAATAATTTTTAACTTTTAAATAATTTCACGTGTATATATCTAAATATAGGTCCAATATATTAGTCAATGACAACTTTCCCCTATTAAAAGACCCTTTATAGTAACATACATAAAAGCAATATAAGACTACTAACCTCCTTTTGAATTTTCCTATCAAGATCTTTCTGTTTCTCAGCAATAGAATCATAATGCCTCTCTCTCAGGTCAATGATTTCTTCCTCAGTCAGAGGCCTACACAGAAAAATGAGGGAGAAAAAGAAACAAAACTTCTGATGACTCTGAGTCCAAATAAAACGCTTAAAAATGGAAATTCTGAAATTTACTATCAAAGTGTATTAACGCAATTTGATGTTGTAACCTGTGTTAAAGAGCACACGTCCTAACACACGCCACGTGTGGTGGAAGCTGAGGAAGATGGCACATTATCCGAGTGCTTTGGGAAGAAATGTGACCTCCATGGCCTTCCCCTGGCTCCGCTGCACCCAAGCCCCCCTCACTGTGCTTCACAGCACCCCTCGCTGCCGGCTGATCGGGTGCCGGCAAGGCCACTCCCGGCCAGCGCGTGCCCACGTGGGGCCGAGGCGCTTTCTCCCCACACTCCCCGCCTGCACGCACGCCGCCCCCCGCCCCCACCCCCTCACACACGGAGGCTGAGCTACACAGAAGGCCCGGCATGCCCGAGCTCGGCCGGCGACCCTCACACCGGCCGCCTGCCTCCCCTCCACGCTGGCCATGGGCATCCACACTCCCTGCTCCTCACCCCAGCGCCTTCCTCTCCGCACTCGGCCTCACGCGGCTGGGAAACAGGGCGGCGCCGCCGCTCCCCCCATGTCTTGCCCTCTTCCTCCCGCTGCAGCACCCGGCCTGGCCCAGGCCACGCTGCCCTCACTCCTGACCCACACCAAGGCCGCCCAGAACCCGACAGCTCCCCCGCGGCCCATCACCTCAGCCTGCCGCCAGCTTCCACCTCTGCCACTGCCGGAGGGAGGAAAGAAGGCAAACCCTTCCTCTCGCCTAGACCCATCGTATCACACCCCCCTCCCCTTCAGCCTCAATCCCGCGGGAACACCCCCCCCCCCCCCACCAGCCCCAATCCCGCGGGAAATGCAGTCAGGCAGCAGCAGCGCTCAGCACGTGGCAGGTGCTCTACCCACATGAACTGTGTTCACCTCACAGCAGCCCTCCACCGCAGACCCAGCCATCGCACGGCGGAAGGGACAGGTGGAACCACAGGCTGCGGCCGAACTGGGACCTGAGCCCGCAGGCTGCTCCCTGCCATTTCCCACCAGTCCCTGGTCTCCCAGCTCCATCTCCAGTCACGCCAGCAAAGGGGACTGCGGCGGCGGGAACACCTGCTCCCTCGGCTCCAGCACGTGCTGGTGCCCTGCCTCCCCCAGACTCCTCAGCCCACCCTCCTCGGCCCCCACTCTGGCAGGTGATGCCAATGCCAAGACCGATCGCGGTCTCAGCCAGCCAACAGGTGACGTCCCTCACTTCTTTTCCTCTGCCAGGGCATGTGCGTGTGCTTGTTTGTTTGGAGGTCTAACTTATAGGAAACAAAATACAAATGTTCCGTGTTCAGTGGTTTAAGTTGGGACAACAGTACACTCTGTAGCTGCCAACACCAGGAGAACCCTCCCATCTCCACCAGGTTGCCTCGAGCCTCTTCTCAGTCAATGCTCATGACTGCCCTTCAGCTTCTCTCCTGGAAGGCTCCCCCTGCGGACAGCCGCCGGTCACCCTTCAAGGATGAGCCAGATGTGCCTCCTCAGAGAATCCCGAACTCGCCTCCCTTCCCCATGGGGACAAAGCGCCTTTCCTCCAGGCCTCCTTGAATGCTCGACAGCCCTTCCTGCCCCATACTGAACGGACTCTTTAATCTGGTGCCTAGCACAGTGGCCGGCCATAGGACAGTGCTTAATAAGCGTTCGCTAAACGGCACAAGGTAAAGAAATACACATTCAAATATGAAACGCATTTAAATGTTCTCTTGATGTTAGGAACTCTTGAATTCAAGTTAAAGATAAATGGCTCTTTTCAAGTACTAGCTCAAGTAATTTTAAGTAAATTAGATTTTTAAAACTGTAATTAGTAAGAGAAGCTTTAGAACATCATAAATAAAAGGATAAAGTTTAAAAAATTAGAGAAAATATAAATGGTTTTTAAAAAACAAGCATAAAACAACTTAGGTTCAATAAGAAAGCACCTAGCACTTATGTGCATTACATTCATGTCCACAGCCATCCTTCGCGATGGGCGTTATTTGCCTGAATCTGGCAGGAGAAGAGCCAGGTCTGTGGGAAGCAGTTCAGAGCACACAGATGACAGCCCGGCCCTCAGAGCTGCTGCAGCACAAACCCAAGTTCCTGAGGAAAACCCGCCTTACCTGCGCCTGCTTCCTGGGCTTTCCCCCTGTACAGAAAAGGAATCAGACAATCAAAATGCTTCATCAGCTTAATTCTATTTCAGACAAGCCAATAAAAACTTTACTTAACCAAAATATTCCACTTACCTTTTTTTTTTTATCATCATGGTGAACAAGTTTGGTTATTTAAGAGCTTTAAAATTTTACTATTTTGCAAAGGCAAAAATTCAGTTTAATAACCTCGCTTAATTATATAACAATAAATTACTGGACATTTCTTAAAAATTTTCTAACAAATATTTACGCTACACCCATGACTCGGACCAGACATGCTCTCCATGCCTTCATCCCTCACGGACCCTGGGTGTAAGCTCACCTCCCAGGTCAAATCATCAGAAGCCTCTCAACCAGCTCACCTCTATCTACAGGACTCCCAGGCTCATGCAAAGCAACCACCACGGGCGCCCGCATGCACATAAAGGGAGGAGGGGAGGACAGGGTACACAGGGTTCGCCCTCTGTTTTCAGCTCTCTCTCAGCTGTGTTCCTTTTACAGCTATTACATGCCACAGTGTTCACCCCACCCATGCACAAATTCATGCACCGGGCCTCTAATAAATATTAATACACACACACATTATATAGGTATATACACTGAGTGGCCAGATTATTATATGTTCAGAGATCATATCTGAATAAAAGAGTAATATGCAAATTGACCATCACTCCAACACACAAGATGGCTGCCCCCATGTGGACACAAGATAGCCAGCAGAGGAGGGTAGTTGGGAGGGATCAGGCCTGCAAGGGAGGATAGTTGGTGGTAATCAAGCCTGTAGGGGAGGGCAGTTAGGGGTGACCAGTCCGGCAGAGGAAGGAAGTTGGGGGTGACCAGGCCTGCAGGGAAGGGCAGTTGGGGAGGGGGGGCCCCAGGCCTGCAGGGGAAAGCAGTTAGGGGTGACCAGGCCTGCAGAGAAGGGCAGTTAGGGGTGACCAGGCCCCCAGGGGAGGGCAGTTAGGGACAAACAGGCTTGCAGGGGAACAGTTAGGCATCAATCAGGCTGGCAGGGAAGTGTTTACGGGGGTGATCAGGCTGGTAGGCAGAAGCGGTTAGGGGCAATCAGGTAGGCAGGCAAGCAGTTGGGAGCCAGCAGTCCTGGATTGTGAGAGGGATGTCCAATTACACGTTTAGGCCCCATCCTGTTGGACATCCCTCGAGGGGTCCCAGATTGGAGAGGGTGCAGGTTGGGCTGAGGGACACTTCCCTACCCCAACACCCCTGTGCACGAATTTCGTACACCGGGCCCGTGGTATTAAAATAAGGTGTCATGCAGAGACATAAAACAAGGTTACACACTGATTAACAGATGAAACTGTGGGAGAACCCTTGGCACCTAATTCTGTTATATCCCCGAGGAGGAATGTTCTGGTTCCTGCAGGTTCAGTTCATTCTCACAAATGAGAATCCACTGTCTTCATTTTCTTCCACAGGATCTGAAATTAGCTATAGCTTTTTTTTTCCCCTCCAAAGGAAACCCCAACTGATTTCAAAACTGATTTGGGCTCATGTGTCCGTCTTACATATTATAGTTAAACTATTCACATCTGATAGTTACAATATATGGCTAAGGAAGAGCAGAAAAATTCTACATGTTCCAAACAAATTTAGGAAATAGCACTGCAAAACAGTTCAACCAAACCCAACATAAACTATGATGCGAGAAAAGGCTGTTAGCAAAAACAAAAGCAGCCAAACACAAGCACTTTAGCACAAACGGGACCACAGATGCCTTTGAAGTGCAGTGCAGCCCTGCCGGCAGCTCAGGGGCTGTTGTCATTGGGTCCTGACCTGCCAAAGCTGCAGGCTCAATCCCTGATCAGGGCACAAAGGAGAATCACCCAACGGATGCATCAAGAAGTGAACAACAGATATCTCCCTTCTCTCTTAGAAACATTTTAAAATCAGTATGATGCTGATTTTAAAACTATATTTAACTATACTGAAGGTTGAAGGAACTCGTACATTTAACATTTGTCAGAACTTTAAAAATATCAGGTTAGATGTTGGCTTTCACTGTGTTAATAAAAACAAACAAACAAACATGGAGATGAAAGTGACGTATGACAAGGAAAAGAAACTAGGTTCTATGAAACATTCAAACATCAGGGGGAGATTTTACTGGGAAAGCAGAAGGGAAGAGCTTCCTAAATGTGTTCTGTCCTGTGACTAGTATGTATGCTATTTATAAAGGACTTAGACCAGATTGCTCTGGGAAATGCCGAGGTGAACAGACTTCAGTGATCTCTTTCACAACAGCTCTCCTCAGGACCCTCAACAGCCAGTATGCACTCCGAGACTGGCCTCCACACATGCTGGGAAAGGCTGGGCTGAGAAATGACTTGAATGTGGTTCGACACATTTTCCTCTTTTCTTAGAAAACAAAATGGACAGCAGGTCAGAGCCTGCAGGCTCTTCTAGCCTCACTCATTTCAGAGGCGTGGGGTGGGGGCCGCGGGAGGGCAAGTAATGGGCACAAACTCACGCAATTCACTTCGGGAGGATGAACATCAGTAAATTAAACTCTTCTCACTGCCCCAGCACACCGACAGACACCCCGCTTCACTAGCCCTGCAATGTACTTAAAAAAAAATAGGATAATGTTTCTGTACTTGGACTGCACCTTAAAAGTGACGAGTTTTAGATGAGATAAAAAGCAAAAAATCAACCAAAAGTAACTGAAAGAAAAGATAACAGCAAAAGTCAGAAACTGATTGTAGAATGAACATGTATAAATTCCACCCTCAGAAATTCATGAGAACAATGGTTAAAGAATAAGTCTACTCTGGATTGTGAGGAATTTACCTTATAGCAAGAGGCTGGAAATATCTCTTTTTAAAGTTCCTTGAGTTCTAAAGAATGCTTTTAAAACCTGTGTTACATAGCTGATATAATAATATGCATAACTATATAAAAATTAAATTATATATAGCATTACACATGTTCTATAGTAGAAAATTCTGAATTATTTGCTAATATAAATTAGTGAAAGACAAAAATAAAGAACAGTAAAAATAAAAAAAAAATCCTAATTTAAAAGTAAATAATGTAAATACTATTTAAAAATGAGCTGAAACCTCAGTGGATAGAGCATTGGCCTGTGGACTGAAAGGTCCCAGGTTCGATTCCTGTCAAAGGCATGTACCTTGGTTGCGGACACATCCCCAGTAGGGGGTGTGCAAGAGGCAGCTGATTGATGTCTCTCATCGATGTTTCTAACTCTCTATCCCTCTCACTTCCTCTCTGTAAAAAAATCAATAAAATATATTAAAACAATAAATAAAAAATAAAAATGAATTAATTGCCCGACTGGTGTGGCTCAATTGTTGAACAAAGAGGTCACTGGTTTGATTCCCAGTCAAGGCACATGCCCAGGTTGTGGATTTGATCCCCAGTAGGGGACGTTCAGAAGATAGCTAATTAATGTTTTTCTCTCATCATGTTCCTCTCTGGCCTTCCCTTCCTCTCTCTAAAATCAATAAAAACATATTTTGAAAACTTACATTAAAATGAGGAAAAAACCCTGAATTGTTAGAACTAATTAGATGACCAATGAGATTGATACGGACTTTGCATTATTATGGAAATACTTACTTCATCACTTTCTACTAGATTCTCAAACTGAAAGAACAAAAAAGCAATGTTAGGAGAGATATCTGTCTAAGGTACATATCCCACAAATAATGATGTCACATTTTCACCTAAAAAGTAAATATCTTTTTATACATCAGTTCATTTGATATATATTTAACAGTCCTACAAGACAGCCAAGATAAGCTATCTTTTTCATTTATGAATTTACATAAAAACAAAAAGGAGACTCACAGCAAGTTTTTACATAGAGAAACAGATAAGCAAAACTTTCATCTGAATTGAACATTTCATACAGATGTTTTAAACCCACACAGCTAGAATTTCCACTTGAGTTCAGATGAACTCAATGTTATTAGAAGGAAAATTATTCAAAAAATAGGGACTGAAAAGATACCCAAACAAGAATTTATTTTATAATGTTTATATTTACTCATCTATTTATTCATATAAGTATTTGCTGAAGATTTACTAGATGGGAGTCACAGCTCCCAATACTCTTTCTAGAGATAGATATGGCCACGTCAAGTTACCTAATGAAAGTCATTACTGTAAAAATAATTGTATTTTAAGTATAAATAATTGATAATCACTTGAAAGAATAAAGCTTTTCCTGGCTAGCGTGGCTCAGTGGTTAAATATCAACTTATGAACCAGAGGGTCACAGTTAAGATTCCCAGTCAGGGCACATGCCTAGCTTGTGGGCTCGATCCCCAATGTGGGTGTGCAGGAGGAGACCATCACTGATTCTGTCTCATCACGATGCTTCTTTCTCTCTCTCCCTCTACCTTCCTCTCTGAAATCCATAAAAATACATTAATAATAATAATAATAATAATAATACAAAAGAAAACCATGAAAGGTTCAGAAAATTCAGGACTAGAAAAAAGTCAAGTACAGTGCTCAAAGCTTTGGAGCCAAGCAGTTAGGACTGGAATTTAAATTCTGCCACTTATAGGCTGTGTGTGCGAGCCCACTGTCTTCACCTGCCTAAGCCTCCAATTCCCAACCATAAAATGGGATGACTGCCACATGTTTACTATGATAGTACTAAGGGTTACGAGCAATGGAATTCAACTCCGCGGTGGAGTAGCTGGTATACAGGAGGGCAGAGACCACGGTAGATCCCACTATTATTATGTTTTACACACAAAGACAAAGTGACTCAGGGATTCTACGGTGGAGTTGCTGAACGTGCTCTAATTCCAGGGCCCTCTGCACGGGGCAGGCCTGCACCTCCTGGCAGCCACTGCCTTACTGACAAGAGGGCACCTGGCCTTGTGCCATGAAGTGGAAAAGGAACTAGTTTTTTAGTAGAAATGAATCTGTTGTCCACATTTCCTTGCACACCCCTCCTCCCAAGCAATTATTTCCTCTTCACCAGCATCAATAACACTTAAATATACAGTCCTGATCTTTCCTCCTTAATTAAAAAAAAAACACCCTCCTGAAAGCACTATATCCAATCAAATTACTCACTCTACTTACCTCTATTGTTAAATGCTCACCTCTTGAGCATGTTCTAAAATATTTGGATCTGGGAAGAAAGACAGAAAAACAACTTTAAAATCAAATTTAATCCTAAAACTGAATTAATATGATGGGGTAAAAACATTTTCTCTAGAGCAACTTTAAATTCTTTAACATATAGTATCTTATATTTATAAAAACGAACTACCAAGTTTACCTATAAATATAGTCTAGATAGTTACGAGTTAATTTTTCCAACTAGGGCCAAATAATGACTTTAATTTTAACCGTTCTATTCACAGTATATACATATATCAAATCACCATGATGTATACTTTAAATATATATTTTTTAATCTTGAGGTTATCACAGATTGTCAGATTGCATATGTTTTTTCCCCAAAGTTCCCCTCCACCTGGTTCCCACTTCACCTTCCAACCCCATGCCCTCACCCCCAACTATTCTCGTCCATAGGTGTAAGATTTTTGTCCAGTCTCTTCCCGCACCCCCTCATCCTTTTCCCCCTGAGAACTGTCAGTCCACTACCTTTCTATGCCCCTGATTCTATTATATTCATCAGTTTACTCTGTTCATCAGATTTTTTATTCATTTGATTTTTAGATTCACTTGTTGATATGTATTTGTTTTCACTTTGTTGTTCATAACTTTTATCTTTACATTTTTCTTCGTCGTCCTCTTCTTAAAGAATACCTTTCAGCATTTCATATAATATTGGTTTGGTGGCGATGAACTCTTTTAGCTTTTTCTTATCTGTGAAGCTCTTTGACATTCAATTCTGAGTGACAGCTTTGTTGTTTAGAGTAATTTTGGTTGTAGGTTCTTGTTATTCATCACTTTGAATATTTCTTGCCATTCCTGTCTGGCCTGCATAGTTTCTGTTGAGAAATCAGCTGATGATCCTATGGGTACTCCCTTATAGGTAACAGTTTTTCTCTTGCTGCTTTCAGCTGTGTCTACAATGGAAGAAATGCTGTGCAGGAGACACCCTTATAGGGTAGGACTTGCTTCAGTAGGGCTTTGGTGCTCACTGAGTCTGCCCCTTGAGTGTGTTGCTTATGGATCTGAAGAGTTATAATCTGTACCACACTGACCATTGGGTACAGTGGCTCTTGGATCTACAAGGAGGTGCAAAGTAATCCACCACCTGAGGCCACCCAGCAGGAGCTACAGAGAGATCTGCAGATTCCTCCTCTTTGTATGGGGTTTAAAAGTGCCCAGATGAGGCCCAGCTGTAAAACAAGAAAGGCTGCTGCTGCCAGGCCTTGGGCCTTCTTTTGGAAACTTTGGGGCTCTCTGACCCAGCTACAGTTTGACAGCTGAGAAAGGCCAGGCCGTTCATATGCAAAAGCTGCTGTGCACAGCTTGGGTGGGGTTGTAAATTTGGTGGGGTGGCGTCTCAGGGAATCACCAAAGCAGAGCAAACAGCAATGGCTGCCAGTCAGCCCTGCACCAGAGAGGCCCCCGCATCTCCATGTCCTGTGTCCCCATGCAGGAACACAGACACAGTGACCACTGCGAGCACCTCTGAGAGAGCTGCCCTGGAGCTCTGGCCGATGCCAGACAGTCCAGTTTCTCCCCAGAGAAGTCTGGGTTCCTAGAGTCTTGCCTGGAACTAGAGTTCAGATCAATCAGGATCTTGTATCTCCCTCCTGATTGAAAAACAACAACAGTGCACTGGTTGCCAGGTAGTTCCATGCGTGCCTCTGCACCTCCTACCAGTCTCAATGTGCTTTTTTCTTTCCTTCTAGTTATAGAACTTCCAGTCAGCCAGCTTTCCTGCAGTTCTGGATTATAGTTGTTTTGTCTTTTAGTTGTAGTTTTGATGTGGTTGTGAGAGGCAGCAAGTACAGGTGTATACCATTGTGGTTCTCCACTCTAAATATCTTACAATTTTCTCAATTATCACTCAATGAAGTTGACATTTTAAAAAAGGAACCATTCTCTTCTGCTATTAGTAAAACAAACATGTTTGTTGTATCTGCCCCCCAGACACAACCACAAAGTAAAACCACTTAGTATAAGTACAGGACAAACCACTCAAGTCCTTTCCTAAGCGAGGGACAAGGAGATTATGACTTTCTCTTAATGTGGTTTCTGTTACAGCTGCCAAAACTGATGCAGGAGAGCACTCTCCATCCACCCCAACCCCCGCCCTTCTCTCCCTGCACTTGTCGATGTGCCACTGAGCTGGACTCCCAGGGACACTGGAATGGTGCCGTCCAATGTCCATCCTTCACGGTCCTGCTGAGCCTGGAGGATCAGCCTGTGGCTCCTTCGTGAGTCCCTCCACCTCCTGTTTCGGCTCCTATTCTCCTGCTGCCTCTGCCCCAGCATCGTTGTCTTTTCCAAAGACCCTGCCTCCTCACATGGCGTCCGAAGCAGGACAGCATCAATGTGTCATCTGTTCCGGACATGTCTTTGCTCTAAGACCCACTTGTTCATCTTTCTCGTGGTCCCGGGCCTTCTCTAGCACCAGATTAAAACGAACTAGCTTTTCCCATCAGCCTCTCCACTGTCTGACCTTCCCACCTTGATCTCCGCCTTGGTCTCTGTGGCCCATCTGGGCTCCTGGTGACCTTTTCTGATTCTCCCTCGGCTGCCTTTCCAGCCTCAGCCGCCTCCTGACTTGCTGGCTGCTGCCTGCACTTGACCTGAGTGAGGATGGAGCCAAGGTCAGCGAGAGCTTCGTGTGTTCATCATTTACGCTGAAGTTGTGGTTTCTCCTGCAGTCATGACTCCTGTCTTCTTGTTGGTCAGGCGCAGTCCTGCTTGGCCACTTGTGTCCTTCACTTTAAGAATTATTGCTCCTTTGACTATCAGATGGTGTCACCTGCAGAGTTTCAGTCACTATCTCTTCTGCCCGAGGGCTCCTACTGGGTGAGGAAAGCAACCCTGTACATATATACATTCAAGTACACTAATTATGAGGAGAGCTGAACTGATGAAACAAACACACTGCACAAACAATGATTAAAAAAAATACAAGTGGAGAGAACCAAGATGGCAGCATAGGTAAATGACGGTATGTACCGCATCCCTTAGCCACATCAAAATTACAACAAAAATACAGAACCACCATCATTCAGAATCACCTGAAAGCTGGCTGAATAGAAGGCGTACAAGTAGAGAAGTAACAAAGGAAGCAACACTGAGATTGGTAGGAGGGACAGAGGGGAGGAACGGCTGGCCTAACACCCACATGTGCCATTTTTATAACTGGGAGGGAGATAGTCTCTGTGGAGGTCATCTGTGAGGACCAAGAGTCCCAGTACTCCTAGCCCAGGGTTCCAGAGTTGGGAAGAGAAGTCCCCATAATTTCAGGCTGTAAAAACCAGTGGGGAGTGTGCTGAGTGAGATGGAGACTGCTGGAGACACAGGCAGTTCCATTTAAAGGATCAGTAAATGGATTTACTTGGAACTCCCAACACCCAGTGGCTTTGGAGGACCCAGACTTATGAGGAGAAAATGGATTTTCTAGCGTCAAGGCAGGAACTCGAGGGCAGATTTCTCCCAGACAGAGGTGCTCATAGCAGTCACTGTTCCTGTGCTGGGACCTCCCAGGTCACAGTGCTGACTGGCAGGGGCCATATCTGAGTCTCCGTCAACCTGGCTCAAACTGTTTGCTCTACCCTGGTGATTCCCTGAGATCCCACCCCACCCAATTTGCAGCCCTACTCAAGCTGTTTGCATCAGTGTTTTCATCTTAACGGCCAGTTCCAACTCAGGGTTCAGATTTTGCTAAAATCTCTTAAAAAAGCTGCAGCTGGTGACATCATGCCCTAAACTTAAGAATCAATAAAAGACCCAAGACTCAGCACTAGTACCAGCCTGCCTTACTTCACAGTTGGGCCTCACCAGGACACTTCCAAGACCAATGTAAGTTGCAGCCATCTGCAGATCTCTCTGTAGCTCCTGCTGAATGGTCCTAGAGCCATTGTACCCAGTGGATAGCTTCAGACCATAACAGATTACAACTCTACACATCCACAAGGGACACACTAAGGAGCAGACTCAGTGAGCACTAAAGCTCCACTGAAATGAATCCTGCTCCACATGGGTATCTCCTGCACAGAAGCTTTCCCATTGTAGTAGTGTAGCTGGTCTTCACAGCCAACTGGCCTGGAGGTCAACTCCTCCCAGTGACATCAACAGCAAAGCTCAACTACAATACTGTGCACACAGCCCACAAACAGGGGCACCTAGAGTGCCCAGCTCTGGTGACTGGAGAGGCTGAGCCACAGACCCTACAGGACACATATTACACAAGGCCACTCTACAATTCCAGGAGAAACAGCAGCTCTACCTAAAACATGGGAACAAATACAGGAAAGCAGCCAAATATCAAAATAAAAGAAATGGACATATTACTGAATACAGAGTTCAAAAACCATGGTTATAGTGTTACTCAAGGATCTTCCTGAGACTTTCAAGGATCTTAGTGAGAATTTCAAAGACATAAAAAAGGACCTCTCAGAAATTAAGCATACACTTACTAATATAAAGAATAATTTACATGGATTGTACAATATAGAGGACACCAAGAATCTAATCAACAATTTGGAATATGAGAAAACAATAAACACCCAAGCAGAAGAGCAAAAAGAAAAAAGTATCCAAAACCATGAAAATAGTGTAAGAAATCTCTGGGACAAGTGTACCAACAATCATGTTATAGGAGTTCCAGGAGGAGAGCAAGATATTAAAAGCCTATTTGAAGAACCCCAAACAAAATGAACCCAAAGAGGCCCACACCAAGACACATCACAATTAACATGACAAAGGTTAAAGACAAAGGGAAAATCTCAGAAGCAGCAAGAGAAAAACAGTTAGCTACCTACAAGGAAGTGCCCATATAACTGTCAGCTGATTTATCAATAGAAATTTTACATGCCAGAAGGGAGTGGCAAGAAATATTCAGTGATGAATGGCAAGGACCAACAACCAAGATTACTCTACCCAGAAAAGCTCTCATTTAGAACTGAGGGTTAGATAAAGAGCTTCATAAACAAGAATAAGCTAAAGGAGTTCATAACCACCAAAGCATTACATGAAATGTTGAAGGGTATTATTTACAAAGAGGAAGAACAAGAAAGAGGAAAAGTATGAACAAAAAAATGGCAATGAACACATATTTATCAACCATTGAATCTAAAAATCCAAATAAACAAACAAGAAATCTAATGAACAAACTAAGCTGTTGAATAAAATAGAATCAAAGGCATGAAAGTGTGGAACAGACAGATGAATCGCACAACTTGGGAGTGGGGCAGGAAGAGATTAACCAAAGATCTTACCTAAGGACATAGACAGTAGGGTGGTGAAGGCTTGAACTGGGAGGAGGGGGGGCGATGAAGGGGGAAAAGGGGGACATCTGTAATACTCTCAACAATAAAGATCTTAAAAAAAAAAAAAAGTGTATCTTCCATCTTTCTTAACAGCCTAAAGTCATCTATGGACATTTCTTTATGCATTACCCTTATGTTCAGAGAGATATCTCTAAATGAAATAGACGTAAGTTTTTGTGTCTGCTCTGCTACTGCGACATGTGAACACGACTCCCACATGGGAAGGATGTCAGAAAGGCAGGAAAGCAGCCTCTCAAACTCGGAATGATGTGGCTATAAAGACATCTGCAAATGTGATGCGAATGTGACTTGTGCCTCCATATTATCCAGGCAGGTGTCAAGATCATGTTTTATGAAGGATAAAATCAGTCTTGTCAAGAATAGGCTGAAAAATGCAGGCTTTTGTGTTCTATGTTACTTTGCATAGAAGGTACTAAATACTCTTTTACACCAAAATGACTTAAGTAAAATATAACTGAAAATTTCTCACAAATCACCCATTAGTATTGTTCCTTTTCTTCATATTCTCCTATATACTGTTAAAATAAAATAGGAAAGTCTTTCCCTCTACTTTCTGTTTGACGTTATAAACAAATGATGATGAAGAACCTTAGTAAACTGTTCCAAAATCTATTAAAAATCAAAGGCTTCCCAAGACTCTTTTCGTCTGAACTAAAGATTGAAAAGGTTACCAATCAGATTCCTGGCAAAAATTATTACAATGAGGATGATATACAGACCGTTTTACAATTAGTATCCAATAATTGAAAGGCGGTCTAACCATTCAAATCTCAAGGGATGACCCATCAACAGGTTTTCCAAGTAGGTGTAGCCTTGACATAGGAGGTAATAATAAAGTGGTAATATTTACTGTTTAACAAACCCCTCTCTGATGAAGGCAAATTTAGGAAGAACAGATGTTCAGAAACTTATTTTATGCCCAGGAAGAGAGAAATCTTCTTTCTAAACATGTCCAAGACAGAAAACATGGATTTAAAAAGCCATTGCCCTACAAGAGGAGCCTGACTTAGAGAGAAATAGACAGGACGTTAAATGTCTATTTCCTTTTTACTTATCCCTGCAATCTGTGTGCAGCATCTTTTCTCTTATTCCTTCCATATATAGGGTGTCATGTCACAGGAAGGTCAGAGTGTTCTGCCCCCGTGAGGAGTACCCCACGTTCCTCTTGGATGTGCTGTAAACAGAGGATGTTGTAAAAAGATCGGGCTCCCTGCTCTGATCACACCCTTGACCACCCTCGGCTTTTAGAATGTTGGCACCTACATGAACCTTCTAGTTCTTACTTCCCTGGGTTACTGAATGAGACAGCTATGTATTTAAATACCAAGTGAATAAAAATTGAGCAATATAACTAGAGAATTGCAGTGTCACAGGGCAGACACTGGCGAGTTAAGAACTACCATGGTCTGAGAAGGAAAGTTCAAATAAGGGCCAGCAAAGTCAGCCTGAGGTGAGGCATCAATCATGCCTCTGAGGAGTTAAAGGAATGCTTCAAGGAATATTAAGTGCCAAAGGCAAGGGAAGGTGAAAAGACCAAGATACACTTAAGAAACCGCACTCCTTAATTCTGTCAACAAGCATATACATTAAGATCCTCCAGTGGCAAAGTACAAGATAATGCGCTGAGAGATAATGGCAACTGAATACCTATCTACAGAATAGAGAGCTATTAGACAAATATAAATCACATCAAGTTTTATTACTCCTCTAAGTTTTGGCCCTTATATGTTAGCTAGCTAGACCTAGTACTGGAAAAAAAACCCAAAACTAACAGGTAGAAAAAAATAGTAATGAAAATGAGAGGTAACCAAAACCATCTTAGCTCAGTAGATAGTGTTGGCCTGCGACTGAAAGGTCCCAGGCTCAATTCTGGTCAAGGGCATGTACCTTGGTTGCGGGCACATCTCTCTCATCGATGTTTCTAACTCTATCCCTCACTCTTCCTCTCTGTAAAAATCAATAAAATATATTTTTTAAATTGAGAGGTAAATTTAAACTAACCTGTCTGCATGCTTACTAGAAGTTGCTAAAAGAATATTAAAACTGATGTAAAACAATATGTTAACTAGAAGACTCAAGTTAGGGAACTTGAGCAAACCTACATTTATGGATTGAAGAAACAGATCGATACCAGCATCATGTGACCATGTATTTTTATTGACTGATTTTAAGCAGAGAGTAAAGCATCCATGTGCTGTTCTACTGATGCATTTACCAGTTGATTCTTGCATATGCCCCGACCAGGATGAAACCCACAACTTGGCCGGGAGGATGCTCTCTGTCACCAACTGAGCTACAGCCAGGGGGCACCATCTGACTTTCCAGGCCCACGGCCACAACAGGGCAGTCTGTCACAGGAGTTCTGTCCACAAGCAGAAAGCAGACCCAACTGCTCAGTTTGCACACACATCCACAGACAGCGACACAGGTGGCGGGGCTCCCTGCGCTGTCAGCTCCCGGGCTCAGGGAGCAGAGTCTGCAATGTCACTGCTATTCCCTAGGAAATCAGTTTGTAAAATCAACTTGAGAGTACAAAAGTCCCAGACACCAACGCAGTCCAATGTCCAATTTGGGGGGAGGGAGGGGAGGGGGGCAAACGTAGGTTAACAGTGGTTCCTATGAAAAATGCAGTAATCTATATAATAAAAGGGTAACATGCTAATTAAACCAGGTCAACCGGACACCTTCTAGATGTCCCACTTCCTTCTGGACAAAGCCATGGTGGTGCGGGTCGAGGCAGAGGCATTTAGGGGCAAGATCACGCTGGCAGGGGAGGGCAGTTGGGGGCATTAGGCAGGCAGGCTGGTGAACGGTTAAGAGCCAGTAGTCCTGGATTGTGAGAGGGACAGCATACTGCAGTTTAGTTGGATGCTTCCCCCTCCCCCCTCCCCCCTCCCCCCCCCCCCCCCCAGATTGGAGAGGGTGCAGGCCGGGCTGAGGGGACCCCCCCCCCCCTTACTCCTGTGCACAAATTTCAGGCACTGGGCCTCTAGTTAACAATAATACCACAAGAATAAATAGGTTTGAGGTCTCACAGCTGTACACCTACCTGGCCTCACCCTGTACCTGATACCTGCTTACCTAATTAGATCCCGGTACTACAGTTAGAATTTAACACCCGGCAACAAAAACACAAATAAAATGCGACCCAAGCCGAAGACTTTGCGCATGTGGTCCTTAGGCGAGACCTCATGAAAGTAAACGCAGTGACTGGCCGCCTTCCTCTGCAACAGCACGGCTGTGGAGTCAGGAACGCCCAAACCTAAATGGGCAGCACGGGTTTAAGTCCCGGGTTTCCATTCAGGGACACAGGAGGGGACATGATGCAGGACGGACCGGAGGGAGGCGTGGGCTTATGTCATCAGAATCCAGAGTCCAAAGACCCAACTTAGAAACCGTTTGGCCTCCGAGGACTCATGCTACGCCACCTTATTACCTAATAACGTCGGTTAATGGGACAGACGCCGAAAACTTCGTGATCTCTTCTAGAGAGCGTCAGCACCTGCTTCCTACACAACGCGGCTGGGCCCACATTTCCAAGTCTGAGTTCCGGGACACATTTATTCGACAACAAAGCTGACTTCAAAGGGCTCTGCTCTCGCCTTCTCAGCAGCTTACCAAAGCAAAGCCACACAAATGGACGACCTTGGAGTTCCAGTCCCTGGCGGATGGGACTCCCGGAGCGGTCACTCCTCTCCAAACCCCGCAAAACCACGGGACAAGGGTGCGCGACCGCTGTCGGCAACGAGGCGGACGACGCGGAGACCCAGCCCCGCGCCAGGCCGCCCGCGCCCCGGGCCGGTCCTCCGGCTCCCGGCGGGGCCGGTCACCTGGCGAATCGGGCGCGGAAACCCCTCCCGCAGGGCGTCTGCGGCCACGCCCGGTCCCGCCTCCCCGGGGCCCCGTAGGCCTCCGCGCCCGCCTCGGCCCCCGCGGCGGCGAAGCCCGCTTACCCTCCGCCCCGCGGCAGCCGCCCCGCCTCCCGGCGGAGCCGCCCGAAGCACCGCGCCCAGCAGCAGTTCCCCATGGCGGCCGCCCGGCGCCCCCGCGCCCGCTGCAGGCCCGGCCGCAGCCGCATTCGCGCCGGGGCCACGCGGGACTCCGGGCAGAGGCGGCGCTCCTCCCGCGGCCGCCCAGCCGCCGCCGCCGGGCCGCTGAGCCGCACGCCGGGGCCGGGCTCGCCGCGGCCTCAGTCGCGCCGCGGGCCGCTCCCACCGCCGAAGGTTGCCAGGCTCCGCCCCCTGTCTCTCCGGAACCCTGATTGGGCGCGCGGCCACGGATGCCCTGCCTCTTCCGTCAATTACATGACGTCATTTCCTCACGCTCCTGATTGGGCAACCGGCGCCCTGCGACGCGCGTGATGCCTGGTGATGGCTGTTTGGTTGGACCTTGACCGGATGGGGATCTCTCTTCTCCCGAAAATGACAAAACTATAGAAAGGAGCCAGGCAGTGGGGATGGGTCCCTGCCCGAGGGAAAACCTGTCGCCCGTGTTGAGCCCGTGTCAATTTCCTATTTGTGATATTGCCTGTAGTTTTCCAAGCTGTCACCATTGTGAGAAACAGGGGGAAGGGCACAGGTGATTTCTCTCTTATTTTTTACAACTGCATGTGACGCCACAAATATCTCAAAATTAAAAAAAAAACACCTTAATTTTAAAAAATGCAACTATGGGCATTCGATGAACACGTGTTCCAGTAGGCATTCTGTCAGAGCAGCCAGAGCACTGCTGCTCCGAGTCCAATAATTCTGCTAAGGACTAGCCCATTGTCAGGGGAGATCCCTTCTTGAACCCTGCTCACTGCACGAACTGTTGGGTTCCAGCCCCTCTGCCTAGGGCTGGACCTTCTTGGATACCAGGTCTTAGAAGCCATGAGGCGTTGTGAGGAGTCTTTATTTCAGAAGCCAATGGCCACGTAGTCATCAGATAAGACAGTTCTTTAAGCAGTCTGTAAGGTTTGAGGCACAGGAAACTGACCACCAAGACATTTTAAAGTAAAGTACAGAAATCAGATTTGAAGGACTTGGGAGGGGAGATGGATCCAGCCGGACTGCCACCTGGACATGGAGGACCAGCAGCACGTGGGCTGGTCTGGGGGTCTTTTAAAGGGGAGGAACAGGAGAGGGTTGGACCCAGGGAGGAACAGAAAGGGGCGGGTTCCAGGACACTTTGGCATGCACTGATTGGTGGTTCAATGTCTTGGGGATGTCTCTGTGACAGATGCCAGTAATGTCATAACTGCGCCCACCAGTTGGGAGGAGAGAGAACTTTATACAGTCCATAAAACATTCAGCCACACATCAGCTGACACTAGTAAAGGAATACATCTTTCCCACACAGGAGTAGCAGTCTCTGCACCCAGTTATTATCTGAGCAGCCACATGCTGCCCCTAGGCTCATTGCCCCACATAGGAGTGTAGAGAATTTACCAGGGGACCAAAAAATACACAGGATTACTGGAGGCACAGGAAAAAAACTATTTATTTTTAGATGTTTCTCATGGACTAGTACAGGACTAAGGGGAGGCTGTTTCTCTCTAAATCCTGAGCAAGCCAATACGGAGGAAGCTTTCCCTTTACTCCCCTTTGGCTTCTTTATACCCCAAATATGGATCATACTTCTGGACTTGTCATAGGCTTTGCAAAAAGCCCCACGTGCTGGGGTGGGGGCCATGAGACCACACCTAAAGGCCTAGCCTGGCGCCAGCACTGATAACTCTGTCTGGGGGTTGTGTATTGTTCATGGTTCAAGGCCTCTCTAAAATGGGAGCAGTACTTAGGTAAACAGGTCTTACAGGACCAGATAATTAAAGAAGGGGCAGTGACTAGGCTATAGGATAACAAGAATGTGCATTATGTTACTGGCACAGATTCAGATTGCTAGCCCCCGGAAAATGTCTCATTTCCCCCATCAGGAGCAGCGCCTGAGCTCTCTGCCTCAGCAGATTTTCCACCCTCTCCAGCCTTTCCTGCACACAGCACACTGGCTGGTCAGTAATGTACTACATCACTTAGACAAAAGAGCCTCCTGCCAAGATACATCAATCATTTTATCTACGGAAAGGTGCATGTGTACAATGTACCATGAGACTTCTGTCCTTGCACCTGCATGTGGCATCTTAGCCTTGGACATTCTGACTAAAATTCCCACATTCAAAGTGGCCTTGGCCATCGGGTGTACTAAGAACAAGGCCTTGACTATCCAATATCTCTGGTGTGGATCCGATACATTTTTATAAACCTTTATTAAAGGTCAATTTTGTCTCAGTTAAAGTTATGAATGATTCTCAGAATCAATAGAAATAATTAAAAAATTGACTTCGTTAATCAAACTGCAAATTAAAACTCATTGTTCATTTGTCAGGTTGACAAAAATTTACAGTTGAAATGTTCAGTCTTTGCAAAAGTGCAGTTAAATAATAGTCTCCTGAATTGCTAGGAATAGTAAAAATCTGAAAAATACTTTGGAAATACTTATTGAAAGTCATAAACATATTAAATGTTCAACAAGTGAAGGAAAGTTAAATTCTATGGTATATTAAGAATATTATGTAGCCATCAGAGATGGTTTTTGAAAAATCTTTAATAACATGGCTGAATATTGTTGCATGAAAACATCAGTATAGAAAGTTATATATAACCAGAGGCCTGGTGCATGAAAATTCATGCACTGGAGGCGGAGGGGGGGTACTAAGAAGGGGGAGCTCACAGTCTGGGAGCCCTCAGGGAGGGAGGCAACCTGGTGATCAGGGGAAGGCAATGCCCCCATCACACCTCTGCTGTTGCCACTGCCAGAAGCACAAGCCTCAGTCGGCCCTGGTTACCTGTGACTCAGGTGGCCCTGTGCTGGGGGGCTGAGGGGAACTGGAGGACTCTGAAAGTAGATGTGTGGAGTGCCCAGACCCACCTGGGGGCGTGCTGGGCAGTGCTGCACACCTGCCACCCCGGCAGGGCTGAGGAGACTGGACGCTACCATCTTGTGACTGCTGGCTCCAACATCTTTGAGGGCATGGGAGTCAATTAGCATATTGCCTCCTTATTGGCTGTGGGCACTGCCATCTTTGTAAGGGTGTGGTGGTCAATTAGCATATTCACTCTTTATTAGATAGGATGTTTTGCAAATCATGTTTAAAACAAAACATATACATTTTAGTACACATATACATTTTTTCATATATATATATATATATATATATATATATATATATATATATATCTCCTAGGGGAAAATAAAAGTGAGATGGTAAATATAAAAATATTAGTAGTGATTATCTTAAGATTGTTGATTTGGGGAGGTCTTTTCTTACACTCCTAAATTTTTTTACAGTGATCATTGAATACTTCTGTAACACACACGCGCACACACACACACACACACACACACACACTTTTTAACCTGGTCTATCAGCAGAAAGAATTGATACCAAATACAATTAAGTTTGTTTATAAATGCAGATATCTATAAAGTAATGAGAACTTGAATGTGGATAAATGATAATAAATGGAGTTGAGATACTTAATTTTTCCTAGAAATGTGTTAAATTACCAAGCTTATATAGGAGGCTATTGGAATTTTTTATGCAATTTTCACCAAATTTGAATCTTCATTGTAATGTAGCTTTAAATAAAAAAAAAATAAGTTATGATCTATTATTAGTTAAGCAAAACTAGCAGGGAGAAACCCCATAACCAGAAGGGATGGTTGAACTCCTTGACTTTACAGATAGGAAAGAGGGCTCCTATAGGAGCTATAGTCGCACACACTTAACTACAGGGATGTGTTATGAGAAATGTGTGGCATTAGGCGGTTTGTCACTGAATATCATGTAGTGTAACTCTACAGGCCCAGATGGTATAGCCCACTGCACATGTAGGCTGTGTGGTTTAGCCTATTGCTTCTGAGCTACAAACCTATGCTGTATGTTACTGTATTGAACACTGTAGGCAATTATAACACAATGGTATTTGTGTGTCTAAATATAGACAAAGTACAGCCAAAAATATGGTGTTAAAAAATAAAAGTGTACACCTGTATAGCATGCTTACCATGGGTGAAGCTTGCAGGACTGGATGAATCAGGGAGTGAGGAGGAGTGAGTGTGTAGACTAGGACATTACTGTAAAGTACAGTAGAATATGCTAAATTTATAAAATAATAAGATTAAATCAAGCACAGGAGAAAATGCTTCAACTGTGAGATGCAGTAAAATGAGATTCACAAGGCTGCTGCCAGTGTAACATGGCATACTGTCATACAACTGATTTTAGAAACAGAAAGAGTACATTCTAAAATGATGATAAAAGGTATTTGGAGATTCAGTACAGATCTCACAGACATTAAAAGGAAAATAAGTAAATGTGACAATTTTGTGCTAATAAGCTTGACAACCTAAATAAAATGAAAACAAAAAACAAACAACAACAAAAAAACCCCCCAGAAAATAAAAACAAACTCATTGGAACACCCAAGCTAACAAAGGTCACTCAGGAGGAGATGGAGACACTGAATAGATGTGTATCTATTAAAGGGATTTAATTTGTAGTTTGAAACCTTCCCACACAGAAAATGCCAGGCTCAGATGGCTTCACTGGTAAAGTCTACCAAAGAAAAATTTAGGAATGTAAGAAAAGGCCTCCCCAAATCAGCAATCTTAAGATAATCACTACTAATTATCTTAATTAAGGCAGAAATATACCAATTCTATTGAAACATTTTTTTTTAAATAGAAGAGAAAGAAACAGTTTCCAACTCATTTTATGAGACCAGAGTTATGGATTCCAAGATCAAACAAACATATTTCAAGAAAATCCAGTTTAAGACCAATATGTCAAATAAACATAGATGTATATTTTTTAAAAGATATATATTTATTTTAGAGAGGAAGGGTGAAGGAGAGATGGAAACAGCTATGAGAGAGAATAATTCATTGGCTGCCTCCTGCATGTTTGGGATTAGCCTGCAACCTGTTCATTAGCCCTGACTGGGAATTAAACCATGACATCCTGGTTCATAGTTTGACATTCAACCACTGAGTCACATGGGTTGGGCAGATGTAAGTGTCTTAAGGAAAATGTTAGTGAATCAAATTCAATAATATGTAAAAATGATAATACATCATAGCCAAAGTGGATTATTCCAGGAATGTTTCTTCAGTATGGTTCATGTTCAATAATCAATCAGTGCAACTCACCATATCAATAGGTTAA